GCCTACAACACATCAGCCCAGTGGAGCTAAAAGATACTTTCAGGTTTTATTCAGACAGCTAAAGTTTCTAGGAAAATATTACTACAGTAAGCTTGGCTGGGCTGAAAACGTGGAAAAAAAAGTCAGACGTGACAAAATCAACCTATTCCCCATTGTCCAAAAACTGGCACATTCATGCTCACATTTACAACATTTCACATGGATGTTATGTAATATACTTATTTACTAGTCATTTTATTTAGGATATTAGCTTTCAAAAAAATGTCAGTTTTGAGGTTTTTGACCGATTTGTCAACAATTTTTTTCTCCTCCATCAATAACCAAACAAGCTTGTTTTGCTAAACACCACCAAAAACTTCAGCTTCAAAAAGTCTTTTGCTGAGCCGACACATTTTTTGTTTGAGTTGAGGTTGGTTTTGAATTTTCAAATCGAACAAATGCGTTTTTGGACTCAACATCGTCGACACATTTGGAGTCGTCGGGAAACCAAATTTTCGTCAATGTTCAAGGCAATTTTCTTTGGAGAAACTCAGACGATTTAGTCTTCGAACCTAACGTTTGCGTTTCTGAAAGCAGCGTTGATGATTTTGAAACTTCGGCGAACCTAACATTCTTGTCGTGAACATCGAAGACTTAGTCTCAAATTTGAAGGAATGTGTTTTTGTAAATAATGCCGGTGTCTCAAATCGAATGCATGCGACGCAAACACCGAACATGCACTTCGACAACTAAAGCATCCGTGTGTTCGTACGTACAGAAGACGATTTAGAGGCTTCAAAACCTAGCATCTTTTTCGTAAACGTCAAAGTTTCATTGAGTAATCAATGAGGCTCGCGTACGTGTTTTCGTGAAAGATGATTCAGCCCAACGTAAACACTTCAGATGCTCTGGCGTTTTCAGCGAAGCCTAACGTGTCCATTCAAAGTCTTCAAATGTTCCGACTACGATGTTGAATCATCAACCAACCTAACGTACGGGTTTTTGGTCACAACATCAAAAAACTCTCAAGCCCTTGACTCACATCATGTGTTTTTGTTTTTTGATTTTTTTTTGGGTGGGGGGGGTACAGGATCACAATAGCGGGTCTGAGGTTGGAACATGAGCTGCTCTAAAAGCACTTGATGTTATTTTTATACTGACAGTGAGCGATAACAAGCCATCGGGAGCATGCGGAAAGCATTGGGGCCGATGTCCCACATGCGTTTCATGAAAGGCGAGGTAAGGAAGGACGTCTGTGATCAATTACCGCCACCGAGGAGGTCAGGCGTGCTTTCCGCGCTCTTTTGTTTGTTTGCGTGTCCGTCAGCGGGATTGCGTAAACGCTCACCGGTGGTGGAAGGGGAGGGTCCGTTGTGGGGATGGGAGGGGGGGGAGAGACATGGTGAGAGATCTCCTCCATCGCCCTGGAATCACAAATACCGTCGAAGAAAAAGAGCGAAGGCGCACACGGACGCGATTCAATAAATAACGGCGCACCTCCAGGTGATTACACGGAGGGTCAGGGCCGCAGTGTTTATTGTCTCTGCCGAGACGTCTGGTCGAGGTTTCAGCAGCTAGACGCCTCAATGTTTGCTTAGCCCGTGCAGAAAAATAGGGCGAGGCACGTTAGATGAAAGGGCCACCATTTTGTAATGTTCTAGAATCATGGACGAATTGCAGAGGAACGTGACTTTTGGACAGGGGTACGTCAAAGCTAATCGAGACTCAACTCATTTAGTCAATTGATTCCAATGGTAGGAGGTGAGTTTTGGAGGACTTCAGTGGGGACTTGACGCTAACTCTAAAATGCTACATAACTGTGAGTGGCATGAAAGAAGAGGCATTTTGTGGGTTGGAGGATAAATACCATCATTCCAAAAGCGAGAAACTCCAAACAACTCTTAACCTCGACACTCCAGTTCACAATCGCTATTTATCAACATAAAAACTTTCTATAAAATTCAGCGGACTCACCAGAGATACTGACAGAGACCTCCTTTCTTTGCAACTGTCTCTTTGTGTAAGCTAGCTTGAGGGGTCATACGTGCTTCTCTCTGAAAGTGGCCCAAAAAATAAATTTCAGCGTTGAAAAAAATGTAGCTAGCAACTGTGTCCAGTCCAGTTTTTCTTGAAAAATGCTTGTCCGGCATTGTCCTTCCGTGTAAATCAAACTTAAGTACACAGGGTACGGTCAACCAATCGGAGAGGTACATAAGACTATTTAGCTGAGCCAATCAGAGGATAGGAAAATTCTGATGTCACTCTGAACCTCTGTGAAGGCGCAACGCGGTCAATCTAAAATCTGATTGTTTAAAACAAGAAGCAACTATGTCAACGGTAAAGGCCTTGAGCAGATTTACATTCCCGTGGCAACATGTATCTACAAATTAAGACCCAAACGACTGGAAACTGCTCAGCCATGAGAGTTTTATTATATGAAACAAAGTGAAAAGACGACTGGAAATAAAGGACCAACATTTCGCGGAATTTGTAAATGGAGGTTTATGCCTCTGAGAGTCTTTTTGAGTCAGCAGAGAAGAAGGCTTGAAGGCCGCCACTGATTAAATCAAGAGAAGATGCAAGTGTGATGTAATCAGACTCACCCTGTGGCACTGAAGCTCAAAAGCGTTTAACTGCATTTTTGGTCGTTCGATAACAGGTGCCTCAAACTCAACATGTCGGGACCGCTGGTGATAAGCCTCTGGGTGTGCATGGGCTGCATTGAGTATTCCACAAAAAGAGGTCCAAGTTTTCCAAAAAAAGTACAACTAATCCAATCTTCTCAATATTTATTAAGAACAGTTTAGAACATGATCGGTTCTTCGGAACATGAACAAAATGATCTGTGACCTGGTCTTCTCTCTACAGACAAACTGAAGGGTGGTATCATAATATTTAGCTGGAAATGGCTTCTTCCTTGGTTACAAAATATTTGACAAGCTCCAAATGCACGAAAGTTAAACACTTGGTCATACTTGGATTTCTGCCTCCAGCAGGCTTGCGGTGAGGGGTCCGGAGTCCAGTCTAATACCGCCCACCCCAGGGTCGCATACGTTGGGTGAGGCGTTGGGGGTCCTGATGGTGAGTGACGAAAGCGAAGGGGAGAATGTTGGTGTCATGGCCGTCGGCGTGAGCCCCGTGTTCCTGGCCAAGGGGGAGTAGGCGTACCTGGGGTAGGAGGGCCGCCGCCGCAGACTGGGTGCCCGTAGTGGTTTGCGAGGTGGCACCGTCCGAACCCCCGGCTGGGCCACGGATGTTATGAGCGGAGGCGGGTGGGCCGGTTCCTCGCGGCCCCCTTGGAGCTGCTGGTCCGGGAGCATCCCAATGTCCGTAAAGACCGACGCCAGGGTCTGGAAGCAAGGCTCCCAATCCAGCAAGTAGTCCCATCTGGAGCTCCCATTCAGACACTCCAGAGAATCTGCATCTTTCCCCTCTAAATTCCTTTCTCTAATCCGTACAAGTAGTCCCTCGCCTCCCCCTTCTTCTTTGAAGTGCTGCAGACCTTCCATGCCGGTCGTGCCTGAGACCAAACATTTACCGGACGATAAAAAGTGTCCTGGCCCAACATTCACAGAGTGGCAAGACGCGGCATCCCCGTCTGGGTTTTCCAAGGTCCGTTTCTCGTTCCTCTTGCAGCAGGGATACTCATTGATCCACTTGATCTCCTGGTCCTCGGCCGTCTCTCCTTCCGCCGAACCGCGGCCGCTCCAGTCGGATGGCGTTTGGCAGCTGGACATGTCACCATTTTTCATTAAGATGCCAGGTTTCATGTCCTGCAGAGAGAAGGCGCGGTCTGGTTGGTTCAGGTCGGTGGCCAGATTTTTTAGGCCAGCCTCTTTGAATTTGGATCTGAGCACCAGGCCGACAAAGAAAACCAGGATCAGCAGGAATACGGCAAGTGAGATGCTCAGACTGAGCATGTGGCCGTCAAGCGGCAGACCAACAACTCCCTCGGCTGAGCTAGAGACATTGACAAAAACCTGGCAGGAAGTTGCCCTCGACCCTGGTCGGGGACTTCTGGCAGACACGGTCAGTTCCAGCAAGTCCTCACCGCCCCGTCTGCGGAACACGGGTCCCGACGCATAGATGGCTCCTAAGGTTTTGTTGATGGAGAAGAACGGGGGTGGGTCCAAAAGGGAGTACTCCACCACCCCATCTGCACCTCCATCCTGGTCCAGCGCCATCACAAAGCCAACGGCATCCCCTGGCTTCGCGTTTCGGGGCAGGAAGAAGTGGTACTGCATCTGGGTGAACAGGGGACTAAACTCGTCCGCTCCCTTGACAGAAATGTGCACTCGGACCGTAGACGCCCTGTTGCCTTTGTCCCGGGCTTCCACCACCAAGCAATACTCGCTCTCATGCTCGTAGTCCAACGTCTGCTGGGTGTGAACATCACCAGTTTGGGGGTCCACGGCCATGGCGGACTCCTTCCTCTCCACCCCACCAAAATCTACGACGAAACAGGAGGACAGGATGGAGTAGGTAAGTTGTCCAAAGGCGCCCACGTCTCTGTCGAGACCCCGAATGGCGCAGACGTGGGTGAACGCCGGGAGGTTCTCTGGCACAGAGCAGTTCATTGTGGGGAACAGGAAGTAGGGACTGTTGTCATTCTCGTCCAAAACCGTGATAAAAACCACGGTGAACGCCACTTTCCGATCTTCCGTTGAGTCATCGCCATCAGACACCCGGATGGTGAGGTTGTATTGGCAGACTTCCTCGTAGTCTAGCGAGGTATTGACCGTCAAAAGTCCAGACTCGGGGTCCAGCTTGAAGCATCCTCTGGTGTTCCCCGAGATGATCTCATAGCGCAACACACTGTTGACTCCCATGTCAGGATCGGTTGCATTGACCTGCACCAGGCTGGTGCCCGTGTGGCTGTTTTCGCTGACTTCAACATGATATTCTGTACTCGCAAAAACCGGCGCATTGTCGTTGCAATCCACGATGGTCACCATGACAACGGCGGAGCTGTTGAGACGTGGCGTCCCTCGATCAGAAACTCTCACGTTGAGCGCATAGTTCTGAACGTTCTCACGGTCCAACGGGCCACACACTACCAGCTGGCCGACATTGCTCATACGATTCTCCGCTTGTGTCGTTTTGACTTCCAAGCAGAAACGCCTCTCTTCGTTCCCTCTGACGAGAGCATAGTCCAGATGCGTGTTTTGGGGGCTCCAGTCTTGGTCGGACGCAAAGATGGTTAGCAGCGTAGTGGCAATGGGCGCGTTCTCCGAGACTGTGACGCTGTAGACATCCTGGGGAAAGAGCGGCGTGTGGTCGTTGGTGTCCAGGATCAGCAAATCGACGGAGGTAACGGTAGAGAGGGCGGGATCTCCTCCGTCTCGCGCCTCGATGAGAAGACGAACGGGGTTGCCGTTGGCAGTGGCCTTGACGGCCTTATTGGTGAAAAGTAATCCTGAAAGACAAAATAAAGGGTTAGCACGAGGTTGGAAGGCAATAGGCTTGGCAAGCATATTGAAGTGTTTTTGTTGAAAGGCGATTTTAGTGCTATTTTGGTGGACTTCTTTCCACATGACACCATGAAGACAATGGAGGAGGCCTTGTTAAATGGGGACTCAGTGTCCCGAGCTTGGGGACCCATGAGAGATGACATATAGTGACGAGTTGAAGAAGACACCGCTCCCTGCTCAGCCTGAAATAGGCCACAAAGTGTTCTTTGTGGAAATAAAGCCCAGAAAGTGGCGAAACTCTCCTAAGGTCCCATCGCGTCATTAGTCAAGGATGCGCCTCCTTGCCTCCTCCTGAAAATGAGCAAAGCCGGGGCTAGCAAGGCGCTAAACCAGCGGCAAAAAAAAAATCTCCATCTTTACTTCCTGGTAGGCTGCCACGTCATCATTTCCAAATATGGGCAGGCTGGCAACCGGGCGCAGTCGTCCTTTCGTGCAGCTGCGGGGCCCTTTGTCACTCGCTTAGCGAGTGCGGTTGTGGAAAAAGGGCCGAACGAGGCAGCGTTTAGTCAGAGCAACATGCTAAGCTAATATTAACCCCGTCGGCGCAAAAGCTACGACGATGCACCTTTATTTTCGGCACACTTTGAAAACCACTGTAGCTAAATACAACGTGCTGTATGTACATAAAGTAAAAAAACTGACAAAAACAAAAAGTTAAAACTAAATTAAGAACATTAAAAACTGTAACCGCAATAAAACGACAACAAATCCGACAATGTCCACCATGGATTATCCGCTTGTCATACTTAGAACCCTGCCTGACAAATTGTACCGGGCAGTTAGGTCCCTTCCAGTGCCGCAACGTGAAAAAATGATCACTTGCGACTAAAATGTCTCTATTTATATGACATGGTAGGGCCACTATTACGGTGCCATAACACATGAACTGTTAACACATCCTTTCTCATGTTAGCGTTACCCGTGCGCCGTCTTTATTTTAACCAAAACCATGTGGACACCATTACGACACACTCGAGTGGCAGTAACATATTACCCCCACTGACCGATTTGTTATCCGTCTTCGGTGCCCTGAATTTTCCACACATTGGCTTGATTAATTTTCACTCAGCTATTTACTGTTTCACAAACATCAGGAGGCCATTTTAGCGAGGGAAGTCGCGTATCGGATGGCGGCATTAGTTTCACTTTTTGCACTCCTCAACAGGAAAGCCGGGCAATTATTCTCATATTTAATGTTCATGTTTCCTCGAGCCCATGAATTACCTTTTGAGGGGGGAAAAAGTTGCTTCGAGGGAAACTACAGCGACAAAGGTACTTGGAAATTAATGAAAAAAATAAGTGTGAACACCAAAAGTTAGATGGTGATTATTTACCCCAACTGGTGTGGCATATGCAACTGCAGCGCTGTCAGATGTTTTTGCAAGTCTGCGTGTGTTTTGACGACCTTCCCAAAACACAAAGAAGAAACTTGGACGCGGACTTAGAACAAAGAGTTATCAGTCAGTTGTGGTCGCTGAAATAATGGCTCATTGTCGCAACGGGCAAAGGGTTCCATAGCCGTAACTTTCTTTTTCACAACTGGCATCTGCGGTTCTGGCAAAAGGGCAGAGATTTCCTTGAGTGAGGCACATTAATCTTCTTACCAGTGTGTGCTTGGATGTAAAAGCCTCGTAAAAGAGACGAAAGCAGCCTGTAGGTGATCTTGCCATTCGGTCCCGAGTCCCTGTCGGTGGCCGACACGTTCAAGACAAACGTGTCCTCCAGAGCCAGTTCGGACAACTCCACCTTGAACAAAAAAAAAAAAAGGAAAAAGTAGACGCAAGACTCACTTATAGACACCGTAGCCCAAATCATTGCAAAGTTTTTGGGCTGTAATGTCTTCTTTTGTGAATCTGATCAGTGACACAAACCTGGTATGAGGCCTGGTGGAAGACGGGCCTGTTGTCATTGACGTCCAGCACCTGGACTTTCAACTCCCCGGAGGTTCGGTGGAGAGAGTCCGATGCCCAGATGGTCAGCGCGAGCTCGACCTCTTCCTCAAAATCCAAAGCTCGGGTCAACGTGACCACGCCGGTGTACCGGTCCACAGCGAAGGCACCTTCCACAGCGGCATCCCCCGCAAAGCTGAAGGTGATGACAGGGGCGAGGTCCACGTCGTTTGCCGTCACCTGCGTCACCACGTACCCCGCCGGTAGATCTACGGAATACGGGCGATGGCATGTGAATCTTCAGTTTTTAAGGTCCAATCAGCGGGAGGTGGTCTTACTCTCGGATAGGAGAACGGCTTCCATTGGGGGGATGGCGGGACTGTTGTCGTTGACGTCCACCACTTGGACCCAGACGATGGCGGTACTGCTGAGAGGAGGGTTTCCTTTGTCTGATGCCTGCACAACAAGCCTGAAATAGGAGAGCATCCATCCATCCGTCAACCCCAGATGACTTTGGGCCAAAGAATTGGTCAAATCACCGGACTGATCCCAGTTCACATTCACACCTGAGGACCATTTAAAGTCCTCATACGTGATTCACATCCTAGTCTTCGACAAAGAATTGGACTAAGGTTTCCTTTTCAGAGTTGTGTTTGCGTACTTGTACGACGACGTGATCTCGCGATCCAGCATCGCGTTGGTGGTGAGGATCCCACGGACCGAATCCAGGATGAAAACGTCGTTATGGTTCCCGGACATGATGGAAAACTCGATTTGGCCGTTTGCCCCGCTGTCGGCGTCGTAGGCAAAAACCTGCAGGGAATGTGAAAAGATTAGCTGCACACTTGTTACCTTGTATGCAAAATGCTGTCGCAATGTTGAAGGGGTCAAAAAAAAATGGAGAGATTGATCCGATACCATGTGGGACAGGATGCCCTACCTGCATGACGTAGGTGTTGCGCACTTGGCCCTCCCGCACGGCAGTCCAGTAGACGTCATGCTCAAAGATGGGGGCGTTGTCGTTGACGTCCCGTAGGGTGACATCCACCTTGCAGTGGGCCGTCCGCCGCCCCTTTTCTGCCAGGACCACCAGCTCCATTCGGGGATTTGTCTCAAAGTCCAACGTGTTGTCCTTCCGTACCCGAATCTCACCTGACACATTGGCAACCCAATTTAGCAAACATATGGTTTCAGGGAAGAAGTAAAGCTGGGAGTATGTCACCCAAAATTTAAAAAAAAAATCCCAATGGCAGACTTCCATTTTCAAGCATGGCTTCTTATGACATTTTTGTGGGTCTACTCATGATAAAGAGCTCTACGGAGTTGGACAGTGCGAAATGAAAGTGGCTTTGTGGAGGACTGAATTCTTTTGAGATCTGGAAGGCACTACTAAGCCAAAATGGCCGCTTGAAAATGAAAATGGCAGTCTTCAGTTTTCAACCATTCTTCTGGCTTTTTTGTGGGTCAACTCGTGATAGACAGTGCTCCCAAATTGTGGTTGACCAGCTTTCAGTGAGCTAAACTGTAAAGTTAATGTATCTTACCTGTTTTTGTGGGTTTTGAATAGGAAACCATGCCTGCTGCCATCCTATTTTTCTGATTTAGGTTTGCAAACCATTTCAGAAAAACAAAACTGATGGTACATAATCTTGAAAATATAAGTGTTACGGGTACCACTCCGTATTATGTGAAGTCTTTTGGAAGTTTCAGCCAAGTAAGTCTCAAAGTGGACAATTTAGTGGAGGTCGCACGAAGGTCAAGTCATGTGACGCAAGTCGCCCACCTCTGGGAAGTAGTACAATCAACAAAAACAACATGAGTATCTCATTATTCTCTCGTATCAAGGAGATGTTTTTTGGGAAGCTGGAACACGATCCCCAATTGTGGGGCCTGGAAGCAATTCATAGATGAAGCAGATAATTTGCGCTTGGCAAAGAAAGATGGCACCGAGTTTTTCTGGGAAAGATGTTTTTGTGGATGGCGTCATGGAAAATAAAATGGCTGATTAGAAGAGAATGTGAAATTAGCATATCGGCGGTAGTTTGAAGAGGGCGACTAGACTGCTGTTTGTCGTTACCTGTGTGGGAATTGATGGAAAACACGCCATCGCCGTTCTCGGGGAATAGGGTGTATGAAATCCTTTCCAATTGGCCGTTGGATTGTTCACCGGCATCAACCGTAGTGATCCACATGCCTGAAAAACAATTTACGTGGTAATCATGCGGAAAAGGGGCCCTCGCACCCGGAAAGTTAGTCGGTGTAGACAAAAGATGTTTGCTGAAAACAAAATGGCAGATTTCCTGTGTGATCTCTGATACGGCTTATTTAAACTTTTTTTTTTTTGTGGGTCTACTCATGACATCCATCCATCCAGCCATTTTCTAATCCGCTTCTACTCACGAGGATCCCGGGTGTGCTGGAGCCCCTTGAAACTTTTTTGTGGGTTTATGTATGGTAGTCTGCCAAATTTCATGTAGTTACATGAAACTAGGTTTGAGGGCTGAAGCTTTTTTCTTAATTCTGGAGGGCAATACTGCACCAAAACAGACAAACCTCCTGTGTATTATGGGGCATGGTTTCTTGAGATTTTTTGTGGGTCGATTCAAGTCAAGTCAAGTACAACTTTATTGTCAAATGCTACTCATTATATACATTCATCCAGATATTTTCTAATCCTCACGAGGGTGTGCTGGTGTCTCTTGAGACTTTTTTGTGGGTTTATTTATGGTAGACATGTCTACCAAATTTCATGTAGTTACATGAAACTACGTTTGGGGGCTGAAGCTTTTTTTTCTTCATTCTGGAGGGCAATACCGCACCAAAACGGACACACTTCCGGTGTCTTATGAGGCATTGTTTCTTGAGACTTTTTTTGTGGGTCTATTCATGATAGACATTCCTGTTGCTAAGTGGAGCAGGATTCACGGACTGAATTCTTTCAAATATTCTGGAAGGCATTATCGAGTGAGAATGGCTTACAGTGGATTTTTAGATGGTTTTTTTTTACTCTTTTTGGTAGTGGTTTTTTTTTCCATGATAGAAATGCCTACAAAATGAAATAAAAAGATTTTTCTCCGTTCCTTCATCTGGACTAAAAAATGTTACTACAGTAATAACAGTACCACTTACCGGCCTTGCTGTTTTCCGCGATGGTGGCGTTGTAGACCTTGTGGGTGAATTGCAAGTCTTCGACTTCTCCTTTGAGGTGGACAAACACCAGGCAGCTTGACGTCAGCGCGGGATTTCCACGATCCGATACCGCCACCCGCAACTTCCTGCCGGAGAACCCCGCCCTCACCCGCCGCCTCATCGAGATTTCCCCTGTCTCTCCATTGATGTCGAATAGGTTCTCATGGTCATCGGGTGGGAAAAAAACAACGGTCCCGTTGGGGCCCAGGTCGGCATCCGTCGCCGTCACCGTGGCGATCACTCGGTTCGGAAAAGTGTCCACGGAGACTATTGCATTGACGGGATGACTTTCGCAGACGGGAGCGTTGTCATTAACGTCGTCCACCAGGATAGTTACAGACACGACTGAGCTCAACGGGCCTTCGTTGCCGCCATCTGTTGCCAGAACTTTGAGGGAGAACTGGGCCCTGGTCTCCCGGTCCAGGGTCTCGGTAGTCCTGATGGCACCGGTGGAGGCGTTGATGGAGAACGCGCCCTGGCCGCCGTCGTCCCTCAGCGAGTACATCACAACACCATTGGACCCGTGGTCAGGGTCCTGGGCTGTGACGCTCAGAACCGCCGCCCCGGCAGGAAGACCCTCGCTGATGGAGGTACGGTAACTGTCCAGGGTGAAGGCTGGGGCATTGTCGTTCTGGTCCAAGATGAGGAGTTGTAACTGTGTGGTGGAGCTGAGTGGGGCGGGGCCACAGTCACGGGCTTGGATGGTCAGCGTGTAGTTCTGATGCTCCTCGCGGTCCAGAGTCTGAAGGGTCTTGATGGCCCCTGAGTGGCTGTCGATGGCAAAGACACCGTGGTCCTCGCCTGAAGGCAATCACATTGGTGACTTTCTTACCGAAAAAAAGTGACTTTTATTTTCAAAAAATATGACTTTTTATAAAATTGAAAAAAACAGTGACAAAATTTGCCCCGTGTGATGTCTACAAATGAGCTGAAAAATTGCTTTCGACGCAGCGCGACACCCTCACCGAGGATGGAGTAGCGAACGGTGCCGTTCTCCCCGATATCCGGGTCGAAAGCTCGGGCGGCGTGTACGACGCCGGGCGGCAGGTTTTCCGGAAGGCTGATCTGGAAGGACGACTGCGAGAAGACCGGCGGGTTATCGTTGTCGTCTAGCACCGAACACAGCACCGTGGCGATGCCTGAAAGGGGCCTCGGGCCGCTGTCACGGGCCTGAACTGAGGACAGGAATCCACATCAGCAAAATGAATCCCCTTTACTTTCGGACACGTTTTCTCTTTGCCTTCACTTTTTGTCCACATATTCAATTTTTTTTCTTTAGAAAACATACAGCATCATTCTGGTGCACTTTGATGTCACTCGGCCTTTTCTGGTTGTGCTTTTCATTATCGGATTTCATGTCAGCTAAAGTATTGGGAGACACTCCCAATTGTTAGCTTCCGATACTTTTTTCGAAGCAACTGAACCGCCGTCACTTTTCGACACATTCCGTCTTTGTCTCCACTTTTTCCTCCACGTATTTGAGTGTTTTTCTCCGATACGCGCTGAAACTTACTTCTGGCCCGTCATGACACAAATCTGTCTTCCCTGTTATTATATTTCATGATCACTTCTAATGTGGCTGAAAACTAGAGCTGAACAATTTTGCAAAATAATCTCATTGAGATTTTTATTTTCCTCAACATTGGTTGTGTTTTTGTTTTTTTTTCCCTCCAAATTGTATCCTTTGCATTCTACTACACTGCATTGATCATTTGAATTATTGTTCAGCCCCGAGGACAACAGCTGCCGGTTTTGACTTTTTTTTAGCAGCTGAACCTCTTTTGCTTGTTGTCATATTTCATCTTTGCCTCCACTTGTCCTCCACATTTTTTCAGTATTTCACTCGAGTAAAGAGCCCGCCGTGATTCTGGCACCGCTTTACATCATTCGGCTTTTCCTGTTATTACATTTCATGATCACGTCTAATGGTTCACCATGTTGACTGATGGGCACATCTGAAAACAGTTTGCTGCAGCATGGGTGAAGTGAATGTTATTGGAGGTGGGGGCTGGGGGTGGTCCCACCTCTCAGGGTGAAGCGTGACTGCTGCTCTCGGTCCAGGAAGGCCAATGTGGTGATCAGGCCGGTGTACGGGTTGATGCTGAAGAGCTCGTAGCCCGGACCCGCTAATAGACTGTACCACACCACTGCGTTCTCCTCTGGGGAATGCATTCACCAAAGGTCAATTATCCGTCATAGAAAATAAAATGTCTTCTTCCTTTTTTTTTTTTTTAAATTAAAAAAGTCGATCTGGATTTTTTTTTTTATTTATTAAGTCACCTTCCTATGATAAAAGCAAATCTTTTTTTTTTTTGTGAGGTGGCGCGGGGGGGCAAAAAGTCTGTTTTTTTTCCCCCCTCAATCAATAATTGTTATTTTTTTGACTTTTTTGTTGAAATATTTTTTTAAATAAAAACATTTCGTAATTGATTTACTTTTTTTTAAAGTCTCATTTTTGGAACAGAAAAAAAATAAAAAATAAAAAAATTTAGAGGGGGGACGAGGGGACAAAAATACTTGATAATTTGCATCTTTCCCAAGAATTTTTAGTTACTTCCGTTTTATATCAAAATAGTGTCACATTTGCTTTGACAAAGGCATCCATGTCATCCCAACATTTTAGGTGCGTAATCGTGGACAACGAGCACAGACTTTATTGTCACAGATGGCTCCGATTATCAACATCATCACCAGAGGAGACCTTTGACAACCCCCCGACCCCACCCCCACAAGTTCCCCGCTTGCTGTTTTTGGACTCTACTTACCCCCTAGAATGTTTGCAAGAACCCCCGGCAAATCCCAACCCCCCTGAGGGGTTAAAAAAAACAAAAAAAAGCAAATACCCGAAGCTGCCGTCGAAGCAGCAAGAGAGTTTTGAACAGAGCTGCACTGTCGGCAGCAGCAAGCCAAATAAATGCTATTGAGAAGGCCCCCCGTGTTAAAATAAACGCCTGTGATTAGAGGTTAGACGGGTGAGATGATTTCTCGGCTTTCTGTTTATTTCCTTTGTGCAAGCTGACGCTTTTCATGAACTGCTGGCAAGAAAACGATTGCATTGCCGTAATTGGATGACGTGGATGACATTGTGAGCGCATGACTAACTGGAGCGTGGACTATTTTTTTCCTCTGCGGGTTATTTGTACAGGGTCAACGATACGGCACAATGACCCATTTCAACTGTGCAAGGTGGTGGTGGATTATTTCGAGTCATTTTTTTTTTTTTTAAATTTGAATCGTGGAAGGCACGGGTCATCTTGGATCACCGGCAAGGAACGATCGTATGACAGAAATTGGGCCTTCAAAATACCCGAATCCTCATCAGTGGCGGACACTTGGACCACAGTCTGCCCGGGCTCCCTGTTTTCCGCCACGGTGGCGACGTAGACGTCGCGACTGAAGACTGGCGGAGAGTCGTTGACGTCGATCACCTCGACTGTCAGCATCTGGCTGGACGAGAGCGGAGGCAGGCCGGCGTCAACCGCGGCCACCCTCAGCCGGTGGAGACGCGCCGTCTCAAAGTCCAACGGCGCCGAGAGCCGCAAGAGGCCTGCACGGTGAAAACACTTAAGTCAGATTTGAAGTTGAGCTCTTTCAAGATCAACTGACCTCACCTCGCTCCAACTCGGGTTCAATTCAATTTTATTCACAGAGCAGACGTCGGTCAGTCGGTACCTGTTTTCTCCTCCAGAGCGAACAACCCTCTCTGGTTTCCTGTCAGCATGATGTAAGAAACCATCCCGTTTTCCCTTTCGTCCGCATCCGACGCCACAAAATGGTGGAGCAGGCTCCCTTCCGCCACATTTTCTGCCACCTGGACCACATCCGCTGACTTAAACGTGGGCTGATTATCGTTGACGTCCATCAGAAAGACTCTCGCCGTCACCGACGCGTGCCTACGCTCGACCCGCCTCTCCGCCAGGTCGCTGGCGGTGATGGTGAAAGCGTATGCCGGGCTGGTCTCCCGGTCTAGTGGCGCCGCCACCATCAATCGACCACTCCGTGGATCGATCTGGAAAGGGAAGCCCAGGGGCGAGGCGAGGGAGTACCGCAGGGCGCTGTTCGGGTATGTCCCGTCCTCGTCTCTGGCGCAAAAGGCAAACGCCAGGGACCCGATGGGGGCGTCTTCCATCAAGGCGATCCTTATCATTTTGTCGGTGAACCACGGCGGGTGATCGTTCACGTCCTCTACTGTCACAAATACCCGCATTGTTGTGTGCTCGCCCGCGTCGTCCTCGGCGAGCGCAGTGAGCGAGTACTGGGCAGCCGTCTCGTAGTCCAGAGGCTGGTAGATGTAGATGTCGCCCGATTGGGAATTGACGCCAAAGCGTGAGTCACCGTCACCATCGGTGATGGAGTAGACCACTTCCTTTCCGGGAGACGCGATGCTAACAGAACCAATCACGGTGCCCGGCGGGTCGTCTTCTCGGACCCACAGACGTCTGACTACTGTTGGGGAGGCTTGTCTGGACTGGTCATCTGACCCATACACCTGGAAAGGATTCACTCCTGTTAAGATTTAATGTGTGGTTGGTTGGTAGCTAACAGAGAGGTAATTGGTAGCAGAATCAAACAGAATAATTAATCAACAAAGGGGGGGGGCACCATGTTGGGCACGCTCATTATCAGCTGCACCACCCAAGGTGACGTTGAAGCAACGGTAGCGGGCTGTCGGTGCTAACCAGATTGCATGCTCTACTCTCCATCTTTTTTCTATCCAACTTATCCTGTTGAAATTCACATGAAACCGGAGCCTGGAAAGGAGGCTGAAAGGTGGACTACGCCCTGGACTGGTCGCCAGCCAGTGGCAGAGAGCATTCAGCGACAGACCACCATTCACTCTCGACCCCCCCCGTGAACTGAAACCCTGCTGCCTGCACCAAAGTCAGCTCATCTCCTGCTACAAAGGGTAAGCGTGTCGATTGCTGCCCCCCGGTGGCAAATTTGTGCAATGCGGTGGGGGAAATTGAGAGGAAAGTCTCATCGAGCCACAAGTGTACCTGCACGTGAATGAGTGCAGTGTCCTCTAGTGGTGGTGATCCGCCGTCCCGGGCAGTCACTTGGAGGATGTAAGCAACTTCGGCGCTTTGCTTGAACAGCGACGTGGTCCTGATGTCTCCGCTCTTACCGTCAATCTCAAAATGTCTCAAACGTTGACCTTCCGCACCGACTGATAGACGCACGCAGAGGGTGTGGGGTTAAAGAAATTGGATCAGTCTACTTTTAAAGGAAATGACTCACTCAGATTTGATAGAAAGGACTTACCAGTTAGCAATGACAAAGTGACCGTTCCATTTTCACCTGCATCCAAGTCTTTGGCAAATGCGTTTGTCACCAAGGATCCTGGTGGGATTCTGGATGATATCTGACAAAAGTAATGAATACACACACTTTCAGAGAGTAAGTCAAGTTAAAAAAAAATAAATAAAATCTTCGTTCTATGAGGGCATTTTGTTTTGTACTGACATCACGGTGCCCAGATGGCTCAGCTTGCGAATGTCACATGACCAAACCCAGAAATCAGGGGAGCCTAGACAAACAGACGTGTTTGTCCAGTCTCTCTCTCTCTCTCTCTCTCTCACACACACACACACACACACACACACACACACACACACACGCGTAACGCTCACCTGGACATTGCGCTCCTTGCTAGCCGGCAGGTGCCTGAACTGCGGCGCGTTGTCGTTGATGTCCGTGACCAGCATGTGGACGCTGGCGGTGGCGTTGCGTCGTGGGCTGCCCTGGTCGACAACCATGACCTCCAGCGTGTGCTGGTTGCGCTGTTCCCGATCCAACTCCATCCAGTTGACAATCTCGCCTGCGCACGGCAGGAAGTTGAGGATGCGCGTCATAGAAGCACGCAAAACGACAATTTGCTGTTGGATGGGTAATTGGGTGGTGGGTGCGGAGTACTAGTCAGAAACTGACTTGATAATCATCACCTCAGAGTCAACTATAGAAAAAAAAACTGAATTCATTGAATCCCTAGTTAGTAGGAAGTTGGTAGGTACTAGTTTGTATGTATTTATTAAGTAGGTTGTTAGTACGGCATACTAAGGAAGCGTCATAGGTGACTAGATTAGTGTAGCTCGGTTGCGACTTAGCTAGTTCGTCAGTACAAAAAATCGGTAGTTGGTTGTGTTGGTGGGTAGATTAGTAATTGCCAGGTCGTAGCCTTACCCGTTTCAGCATTGATGCGGAAGAACTTCCCATCCGAGATCAGGATGTACGACAGCCGAGCGTTTTTCCCAGAGTCCCGGTCAGTGGCGCTGACCTGTCCAACCGGCCCCCGAGGCCACGGCCCCTCCGGCAGGACCACGTAGTACGTGGCCCTGCTGAAAACCGGCGCGTTGTCATTGACGTCCAGCACCAGAACCGCCACCGCTGCTGTGGCGTTGGCCTCGCCCAATGTGGCGACCGCTCTGAAGCGATAGGCTGATTCCCGCTCGTAGTCCAGATCATCGGAGAGGTACAACCAACCGCTTCCGGGATGGATCCGAAAGGGAAACGGAGGGGAGCCCACTTCCTCCTCCAGGGAGTAAACCGGAGTCGCGGTGTCGGAGCAAGTCCCGTGGATCCAGTGGGCTCTCAACTGGATCACTCTGGAGTCCCTTTGGTAGCCCTCGCCAATCTCCACCTGGTACACCAGCATCTCAAAGGCCAGGTTGTCACCGGGAGAGGCCGGGTCCACGTTCACCGTCAGCCTCAGGGTGGCGCTGCGCGAGGGATCCCCGCCGTCTTCGGCCGTGATTTCCAACACAATTGGGCTGGGGATAAATTTGAGGAAAAATATAGCAATTAGTGCTCCGGGGGGGGGCTCAGCGGGGTGTAACCAAAAAGTGGAACCATACTTAAAATGTGAGTACACATGATACGCGGGATATATTGAAATACATTTGAGGATGTCTGTTTTCATGGTAAGAGGAGCAGAGGGACACATTTCAACACACAGGATTTCCTTGAGCCCTATTTACTACTTTCCTATCAGCCTGGGCTTTGGTGCCATCTTGTGGCATTTCAGAGAATAACTTTTTGGAACCCGAACGGTTCTTTGGTTCAAGTCATACCCGCCTCGAGGGTCCGCCCTCAGTGTTTGGTTGAGTGTCACCGTTCCGAGGTTTGGGTCCACCGCGAAGACCCCGGCGTGCCGACCTCTCAAGTGATAGGTCACCTGGCCACGGATGCCGCTGTCGTCGTCGTGGGCGTGGGCGATGTACACCGTGGCGCCCGGTGCGGTGTTTTCTGACACAAAGACGGCATCCTCGACTTTGGGGAATACGGGCGTGGCGTCGTTTATGTTGGTCACGGTGACATTAACCCGCGCCTCGCCGTACACCGGGGAGGTTTGGTCATAGGCTTGGAGGAAGAGCAGGGCGTACGGTCGAGTCTCGTGGTCCAGAGGCTTCGCTGTCCTGATCAGGCCTGACTTGGCATCCACGGCGAACAGCCCGTGCGGGTCGCCGGAGGCGATGCGGTAGGAGACGGATTCGGCGGCGTCTGCGAAGCACAAGATGACTTATTACTCCTAACCCGTGTCACGGGGGAGTGTGCACTGGGTCCTCCAATTTGGAGCATTTTGGACCCTTTCGGGCCACTGTAAATGTTTGCTCGTTTTCCGCAATGAGGAAAAAAAATATCAAGTTATCAATCAACATCAATTAAGATAAAAATGACTCACAAGATGACTTATTACTCCTAACCCGTGTCACGGAGGAGTGTGCACTGGGTCCTCCAGTTTGGAGCATTTTGGACCCTTTCGGGCCACTGTACATTTTTGCTCGTTTTCCGCAATGAGGAAAAAAAAATATCAAGTTATCAATTAACATCAATTAAGATAAAAATGACATTCACAACTATTTTAACTTTTTGAACAGTGAGAATTTTGTTTTTTTCTGGGGGAGGGGGCGTGGTTTAAATGTCATTATCTTTTTCTTATGTTTTAATGTGTTCATGTGTAATTACAGCGTCATTAATCCCTTGAAGTCAGTGTTTGTCACATCCCGCATTTATAAGATTACAGACGATCTTAATGACGCCTCGGACTAACCGTGTTGTTTCTGATTTTAAGCCTGAAGGCTTTAATCCATTAATTAATGAAGTGGCCTCATGTGTCTCCTCTGCCGTCATTACGGCATCAGCCTTGCTTCGCACACTTCCAGTGTTTTTAATCCCACCCACACAAGCGCACCAAACTTTGGCGGCGCTCTGCAGTCGCCTATCGTTTGTCATCTGTTGCTCTACTTAAAGGGGATTAGGGATTAAAGGGCAGTCTTCCTCTTTGCCCTTTTCACATTAGCACATTACAACCCCCCTGCACCCCCAAGGGCTGTGTTGCCTTTGATGATTACGAAAACGCGTACGGAAGGTAAGTCAAAGATGTCGTCGCTTTTAATGTCATATCAAAGCACGTTCAAAGGATTCATTTAAGGTCGTTCAAAGGATTCATTTAAGGTCGTGCTTTCTTGTATGTTGCTTGAAATAATGCATCAAAGACTCGTTATCTTTGATGTCGAGATTCCAGTGTCCACATTGCCTTCGATGATCATTAAAATGCCGTCATGTCCTGGTGCCAATCATATTTAGTCAACGTGCTGTTTTGTCAAGGCCACTCTGTCTTTGATGTCGACCAAAATTATACATCAAAGACTTATGATAGACTTTGATGTTTTGATGATTATGGAAATGTGAACTTTTAGCTATGTCAAACTCTTCATTGCCTTAAATATTTTTAAAAACACATTACGTAATATTTACAAAACCGCCTCAGAATTTCAATTTCAGCGCCTGCATTGCCTTTGATGATTAACGAAAACAGGCACTTCAGGAACGTCAAAGACATACGTCGAGAGTTCATTTTTGATGTTTTCAAGAATGCGTTCGTGAGGGATCGTTAAAGACGCAGTCGTCTTCAAAATGTTTATGTTAGTTACATCAAAACCTCTCCGTTGTCTTGAACGTTTACAAAATGAGCGGGCGTGAAGACCACGTCGTCTTTGATGCTTCCGAGACGGATGAATTCAGGCGGGCGAGCAAACCTACCCAGCGGGTTTGCGGCCCGCACGGTGCCCACACTGGAGCCTGGTTGGGCGTCCTCTGGCACGGTGAAGGTGTAGCAAGATGTCTGGAACACGGCCGGAGCGTGGACACTCGTCAAGACCTCGACGATCACCTCGGCCGGTCGGACCGATGACACGCCCCCGCCGTCCTGCGCCGCGATGGATAACCTGATGCTGGCGGCGCCCAGGCGAGTCAACGAGGACGTGAGGTACAGCGTTCCTGGAGAGAAAACGTGACAGAGGATTGATTTGAACCCGGACCCCTGCTCCAGCTATGCTAATCTGCTAAGTAAAAAAAAAAAAAAAAATCAAGGCAAATCTGGACAAGCCTGCCCCACTTCCAGCCGTCAGGAGGATTTACGCACACTAGGACGTCGGATTTATCCTGGAGTTCTGATTACCTGTTTGTTTATCGAGGGCAAACAGAGCAGACGTGTCGCCCGGCAGGATGTGGTAGGTGATGCGGCCAAAGCGACCGTCGTCCGCGTCGGTGGCCGCCACTCCCAGTATCTCGGTGCCGGGCGGCGTGTGACTGCTGACGCTGGTGGCATAGCGCTCGGGGTTGAACACCGGCGCATTATCGTTGAGGTCCTGGATGTCAACGTGCACGAAGGTGTGTGCGCTGAGGCCTCCCTATATCAAGCCAAGAACCAGAAAACAAAAATATTTCATCGTTGAAGTAACTAAATTATGCATTCAGCTACACATTTTTAAAAACATCAAAGACGATTTGGTCTTCAACTGGATCTTTGTGCCCGAATTGTTTTCAAGATCAAAGACAAAGGAGGGTCTTTGATCATCCCAGCGAAGTACTTTTAGAAGCAAAGGCATTTTGGTCTTCAACAGAACATTCTCATCATCAAATACATTCAAGACTCTTTGACACAGGCAAGACACAAATGCAAACATCAAACACAAATTTCATCTTCAACGAAGCCTAAGTATGCCTTTTCATAAAGACGAGTTTTTGAACGGCCTCAAAAAAGACGTACACATCAATGTCATCAAAAGAAAACAACGTTTTTTTATGTCCCAAGCATAAGGACACTTTGATCCTCTCCTCTTTCATCTATAACTGCTTCGGACAACAAAGTGTATGCAGAAAAGTGGTGAAGATTGCACGACTGTCTTGTGTCCTATGTGTTGTGTTGTGTTATTTTTGTTATTTTGACTTCAAAATGGCGCCGCGAGAGTGGCTGCCTTTCCAGCAGCTCCTATATTTTGTTGTTCTACTTCTTCCTTTCATAACTTTGCTGCTGTGTATTGGGAATTTCTCCATTGCGAGACTAATAAAGGTTTTCTTATCTTATCTTATCTTATCTTACTCACTTCAGCCAACATCAAAGACAGTTTCGCCTTTTTCAGAACAGTCTTTGTTGTTCGAAAAATTGTAAATTTACCTTACGTATGCAGTTTTGTGAACCTCAAAAACAATGTTTTTGACATGTAGTACATACATTGTAAAAATCAAAGAGTCATCAATGATGCCAATGTAAAGTTTTTTTCTAATATCAAAGATAATTAAAAAAATCAAAGACAAGTTTCCAGTCTTTGTGAATGTATATATTAGTGTACAGACCGGATCCTCCGCTCTGACCAGAATGTTGTGGACACTCTGTCCGCCGTCTCTATCGATGTCCCCGGAGACGCACAGCTCTCCGGTCTGTGAATTAATGTGGAACAGGTTTTGGTTCTGACCCAACTCCTCAAGGTCATCAGGCAGAGAATAGACCAGAACGCTAAACTCTGGACTGTCCGCATCATCGGCCACAACCTATTGAAAAAAAAAAATGATTGGAAATGTTACTAGTTATTAGGTGTAGTGCTGTTTTTTCGTCAACATCAAAGAAAATGGAGTCTTCAACAAAAATCATATTAGAATTGTTCATATACAAAAAAGCCAATGTAGTCGTCGCTGAACTGAATGTATGCATTTGCAGAAACATTTCAGTCAATTTAGTCTTTGTTGAGCCTAAATTCTGTGTATTCATTCACATCAAAGACAAGTTAGTCTTTGTTGAACCTAAAATGTGTGTTTCTGTAAACATTGAGTACGTACTTGCAAAAAACAGGTGCCGGGAGCGCTGTGTTCCATCAAGCTAGCATTGTAGAGTCTTCGCTGGAACGCCGGCTCGTTGTCGTTGACGTCTTCCAACACCATGCTGACGGTGGCGCTGGTTGACCTGGCCGGTTCCCCTTGGTCCTCAGCCATCACCAGGAACAGGCACACGTCCGGCTGCCTCTCCCAGTCCAGGTCTCCGGTTGTGAAGACCAGGCCGGAGTGCGCATCCACACCGACCGGGCAGTCCCAGTCGGGCTTGAGTATAGAGTAGGTCACGTCACCGTTGACTCCCTGGTCTGAGTCCCGGGCCTCCATCTGGATAACGGATGTCCCCTTTGGGACGTCCTCTGAGATCTGGACCACAAACATGTCCCTCTCAAAGACTGGGTCGCAATCATTGGCGTCTGCCACCTTCATGAGAAGAACGGTCTCGCTGCTCAAACGGGGGGTCCCAAAATCCGAGGCTTGAATCCGCAACTGGTAAAGATCCTTTTGTTCCCTGTCGAGCGGGGCGCTGATGCACAATGCATACAGGAAGTCGTCCGTCTGTTTGAGGGCAAACTTCCCGTCACCGCCCTCAAGCTGGACCGACACCGTCTCGCTTTGGTCATCCGGGTCCGACACAGAAATCCGGGCCACGTAGTCTCCGATCCTGGCGGCCTCGGAGACCAGCGTGTCCCCGGTCTCGCTGAGGAACAGCACGCTGATAACGGGACTGTTGTCATTGACATTCTGTACTTTCACAACCACCAAGGTGCTGCTGGACTCTGGCTGGGCTCCGTTGTCTCTGGCTGTGATGATCACCTCGTGCAAAATCTGCATAAAACATGAACAAAGAGTGTCGTTAGCATGACAAACCGGAACAAGTGTAGAACTTCTATAATGTGTGTGATACCGAAGCACAAGGAGTCGATCAAGGCGAGGTAATACGCATGCGGTACCTGTGCTTCAAAATCCAGTGGCTTGTTGAGAAAAAGCACGCCGCTGGTCTCGTGAACGGAGAAGAAATCGTCAGGGTCGCTCTGTCGCCGGTTGATCTGGTAGCTGACCCTGGCGTTGTCGCCCTGGTCCAGGTCCACGGCGCTAACTTGGCACACAGACGAGCTGACCGGAGCATTTTCCGGCACGGCTGCGTCATACTTGCTCCGGTTGAACACAGGCGGGTTGTCATTCTCATCCAGTACCCGGATGTTTACCCGCAGCCTTCCGGTCCGGGCGGGGATGCCGCCGTCAAAGGCCTCCACAGTCAGAGTGTAAAAATCTTGTGCTTCTCTGTCCACTCTGCTGTCCAGAACCAGATCCAGGCTCAGGTGGTTTCCGTCAGCACTGCGCTGCTCCAGCCTGAAGATCTCCCCCATTTGGGCCTCTCGGATCCGGTATCCCTGGGTGCCAAATTCCCCTCCATCCTGGTCCTGAGCTCCTTCGAGGTGGAAGCGGCTACCAGGTGGGCTGAACTCAGACACCCTCAGGTCCACTTCCTCCGAGGGGAACACTGGCGAATGGTCGTTGACGTCCTCCACGTTTATACGCACTTTGACCACCTCTCCATCAAGGGTGGCAACCACAAATTCGTAGTGGTCACGGGTCTCTCGGTCTAGAACCGTTGTTGTGGAGATGATGCCCGTCTCCGGGTCAATCTCCAGATCGCGGAAGACGTGCGAGTCGCGGCTCTCTGAGATGAAGAAGCCGACGGTCGGCCCGCTCAGACTGGTAGCCAGGTCGCCGACCACAGTGTGAGCGGGGAGCCCCTCCGGGACGGACAGAGTCAGGTTGGAGGCGCCTGCCCAAGGAGGGCTGCGCAAGAGCACCACAATCAGCAGCGTGTACGCACTTTGCTGATACATCTCTCACTTATTATTTTTCGATCAGATCAGGGGTGTCCGAATTAGTTTTTTCTAAGGGCCGCACACAAAACAGTCCATGGATGCAAGTGTAACTTCTTCAACTTCATTTAGCAGGCAAAAACTGATCCATAGTCATCAAAGTTAAATACAACTGAACTGTACTTGGGCAGTGACTCTTCCCATACCTCGAGAGGGAACCGGCATACCACGACCATACTTCAATGATTGAGATCGGTTTAGTATTTTTCAAATGAGAGAAGGTAAAGGATATATCATAAAGACAAGAAACGTAGCGAGTAGCAGCAAAATCGCACTACATTCTACAACCGAAACAAGAGCGATCAATGATTACCTTGACACAAGGAGAAGGTGGAGCAAATGATAGCGATTCTGAGGCATGTCTTACCTACCGAATGTTGTATGATTGATTGGTGGAAAAAAAGCAAGTGGGAGGGGATCAATCATTTTCTCTCTAAATCTTACAATGCAGGCAAATAACACGGTCATTTGCTAATTGTAGGAAATGTCGCCGATCCCTGAAAAACTTCAGTTTGGACACCCCTGGATTAAAAAAATTAATGAATTTAAAAAAATAAGTTACACTGCAGATCTCCAGTTGAAATGTCTGTGCACCTCTCCGGTGCAAGCTCCTCAATGGATGCACCCGCGACCCCGACTGACTGCGTGCGTGTCCCCATCTGTGCTGCCTGCTGCCCTTGCCGCACTGCTAATCAGGCCGCCAGATTACGCCGCCACCAGACGTCACGGTGCGCTCAGGGCGTCCGGGAATAAGATACAAAGGGACACACACTGGAATTCATATGACTCGAGGAATATACTCGAGGATTTCCTTTTTTTTTTTTTTTTTTTTTTAAAGTCATAAACCCTATATATATATATATGGGGCTTGCCACTTCCATCCAGTTATTTCTCCAGATTCTGTGGACGTTTTGATGCTGTTATGGACCGTAGATGATGAAATCCCTAAATTCCAAGCAACACAACAAAGTCCTTCAATTTACTATTTTCTTACAAAGAGTTGAACCTCTCGCCCTACCTTTGCTTGTGAACGACAGAGCAATTCAGGGAAGCTCACTTCATCGCCAATCGTGTCACCCGCCTGTTCCCAGTTAGCCTGTTCACCTGTGGGATGTACCAAACAGGTGTTTGATGAGCATTCTTCAACTTTTTCAGGGTTTTTTTTTTCATCACCTGTCCCATCTTTTTGTTTGGTTGGGGGGGGGGGTGGGGTGCAGCCATGAAATTCTAAGTTTGAAATTTAATTGAGGAGATTGGATATATCAATCAATTTTAAAAAATACAAAAATTATTGATTACTTTTGTTCTTTAAATAAAATTATTTTAATCATTCATTAATAGGGCAAATGGTTATCGCAGAACCCACTCACTAGTTAATTATTTGTGGTATTTTTGCCGGGGGTTAATTTGTGAGTTATAAGTTCAAAGTTTGGTGTACTCGATGTACTAATGCATGTTTGCCAATTAATGGTTAACTAAATCAAGAAAACACCCAAAAGCCACATCAATTTTGTGACATGTAAATGAAAAAAAATATTTAAAAAAAGGACTTCAACAAACTCTTGAATGAAACTCAACAGATGCTTCATCCTCACAGAATGTCAAGTACGGAAGCGGGTCAACATGGACCACAGCACAAAGAAAAATGACTCAGAGAACGCGAAACATCTTTGGTCCCGGACATCCACCCGAGGATGAGCAAATGATTTCAGATGGTCAAGTATGGGGACAAAAACAAAACTTTATTCTGCGCTCCAAACAATAATGAGTTTTTTTTTATTTTTTAAATCCCTCCAAACTGCTTGACACCCGCCTCCTGACCCCCGCCTGCCACGATGCGCGTCACGGGGATGATCTTCATGGTGGTCTCCTTCAGGGAGTACCAGCGGTTGTGCCATGTCACCCAGATGATGCCGTTGTCGTAGCCGAATTCACCGGTGTCCTTTTCAGTGTACCGCCCACCTGCGTGAAGAAAAGCGCGACATTTAGGGAAGCGATGTCAGAGGACACATTTTGAGTGGGACTACTTTTTGCGACCGGCGGTGTCAAAGTCGTAACACACCCTGGTAATATTTGCCGTTTAAATGGGCAGCGTGGCACCGGTTCATCCACCAGCCCGAGCCGTCCTGCAAGGCGCAGTTGCCGTCGTATTTGTCGTTGTCCTTGTCGAAGGTGCTGAACTGCATGCCGTTGTGCGAGGTGAAGAACTTGTCGCTGGGGTCGTCGCCGAAGTCAAAGCCGTTGAAGGCGTCGCCGGCGTCGCCGCCGAAGTAGTAGCCGTACGTCAGGCGGTACATGTCCGACTCCGGCGCTACCCGGAACATGGCGTAGTCGGCATACCTGGAAGGCGAGTTCAGAGGAGGCGCGTGTTTGCCTTGTCGTTATCGGTTCTCGTGTTTGCGCGTGGGCGGTCGGTGCGGGGGTGCCGCCAGAGGGAGGGAAAAAAATAATATTGACACGCCAAAGTTTTTTCCCCGTGACTTTTGTAGCGAATACAAAATTATTGGAAATTATTTTAGAAAAAAAAAAAAAAGCTTGAAACACATTGAAAAGTTGACATTTATCCAGACTACATTGGGGGAGATGATCATGCATAGAGTCGCTTTCATGTGCCATAAAGTTAGCGCTTCCTTTTTTTCACTCCTGTTTCGATTAGATGCAACAAAAAAAACAACAACCAACCAAACAAAAAAAAAAAACACATCTGTACATTGTACCACACAGCACAGTAGAGCAAGATGTACGCTACAAACAACAACAACAACAACGGCCATAGATATACAGGAAATAGAGTCTGGTCTTTTTAAGCTAGCTGCGTGTCTACAGCAGATGCTAAGCTAACATCAATGTTATGTTACATTTGGAGGGACTCTCTCACCCCTGCCAACACGGCCGCCACATTTTGACGTTTTTAGCCTGCTCTAGTCTACCGTCAAGTCCACTGTTTATCTGCGACAGAGATGGCCAATTCTGGTGCTTCATTCTCTTTTTTTGTGGTGTGAGTAAATTCCAACTGGGAGTGACAAATCGCTTTTCATGTGTTTAAAAACGTGTTAAAAGTGTTCGGGAGGGATGAAAATCCTTTGGAAAAAAAAAATTCTCATGGGCTTTCTGTGTTGTGCTTTCTCTCCAAAAGTGTTCGGCGGAAATCTTTCATGAACAACATACAGTTGTAAGATCACAAAAATGAAAAATGGCAACAAAAAAAAAATTCAATGGGAAAGTGTCTGTATTTTCAATTTGTGACGCGATGTGTTTCGGCAGGGTCGGTCGGGGCGGGGTGCGCGTACCTTTTGTTGCCCTCCCAATCGACCAGCTCTATCCTGAGCACCATCGGGATGCTACTGCCCACGGACAGAAGGTGGATCTTCTCATTGCCCAGCCAGAACTCGGTGCTGTCGTCGGGGGAGAGGTAGCCGAAGCCCTCCTTGTACTGGATCCAGTCCTTGTGGAAGTCCACGCTACCGTCCCGTCTCTGCGGATGCGATCAAAGATGCTCACTCGGGTATTTGAACACCACTGCCGAAACGCCGGTCAATGCTAACATGGATCTGGTGGCATCGTTTGCGACTAAGCCGTACCACTGGACTGTCTGAAAACCATTTGAGTTGAGAAATAGATCCGCGCCGGACCGAACCCGGATCGTCACGGAAATAAATTTTTCACGGTTTGCTTCAGTGCAGTACGTACCGTCACTTTTATTTTGAGCTAAAATGAATTTTGGTTTGATAGGGTTCCGAATATCCGACTTGACCCATTCTGGTTCTCAGCACTGTGACGGTGTGGTACGGTCATGGTGGTGTGGTACGTTTCCACCAAGCAGTACGGTTCGGGACGATACGAACCCGCTGGATGACGGTGAAGCCGCGCCTAAAGTTGTCAATCTCGCAGTACACCGGGAACTGTTGGGTCGCTTGGGCCGGTTTGATGTAGTAAATCCCACTGACTGTGGCGCCTTTGTTGGCGACATCCTGGCAATCTGATGCAAAGAAATAAAATCAATAAAAGCATCGTGTCGTCAATGTGAAAATAAGAAACGTCAGACCTGCCGGCACGCTTCTTGTTTTGTTCTAAAAAAGTTGTTGTTTTTTTTCATATTGTCTGTAAAGTGGTAATTAATCTTGCACGATGGTAAGGCATGAAACAAAAAAAACACAAATTTTCACTTGAACTGAAAAGGGGCTGTGCCCTCGTTAAACATCTGAAAAGCACAAGCGTGGTCTTTTTCTTGAGCATGAATGCGCAGTCGACAAACAGAAAAAAAATAATGGATAAATAATATAAATATATTGGCCTTCATTTAATTAGAATGGAAAAGCTGTTAAAAAATATATTTTTTAAAAGAACAGAGAAAAATACAATGAAGAATATGCAGAATTAAATTAAGTTAGAAATTATCAAATAAACGTTCCTGGGGGTAAAAATATATTCCAAAGATTCATTCCAATTTGGATTTGAATTGAAAACGGGTTAGGCCCCCTTTTAACAAGCCAGAAACGCAGATTTATCATGGATTGAATTTTTAACACGCTTTTAATTGGACATCTTTTTTTTTTCTTCCAACAGTAATAATGTGTTTGTTCCTGCTACTTAAAAAGCTGAGCGATCGCGACAAATTCCGTCTGTTGACCTTCCATCGATGTCGCCAGTGTATCGACTTTTGCTCCCTCTGACTAAACACTGACAGGCACACATGTTAGGAAACAATCTAAAGGTCATTTTTGGGCCGGGGCCGGAGGGCTTCTTTTTTGGAGGTGGGGTTGTACCTGTTCCTGTGGTGGGCTGAATCACAACACTGTCCTTGCAGGGCTCGCTGCACGTATTCTGCAACTCAATGGAGAGCGTCTTCAAGTCTGCCATTCTCCTCTCGTTGGCGGCGACGGCATCAAAGTGTTTGTGCATGCTGGAGGGTGGGGTGTGGGGGGTGAAATTGTGACAGGAAGGTCACGACACGGTTAAATGTTTGAGAATTATCCGCGGTTAAGTGGGGCCAAATTGCACTTTGGCTCGAGTAAAAATCGGGTGGGGGGGGGAGAACAAAGACAAAAATTGGTTGAATCAACAGTACCGTACGGCTAGAACAAAGTTCAAATATTATGTAATAATCAGTGGCAAAGATATTTTGGGATGAGGAGGACAGAAGTGCGATGTTGGGAAATATAGTTTTTTCAATGTACCAAAAAAAAAAAAAACATTGGATTAAAGTAATTCTGCCTTTTTTATTTTGTCTTTGCAAATATTTCACACTCATTCCCATTGTTTGTCCTCCTAACACTGCACACCTTATTTCACCTAATTCGTCAAAGTGAAAAAAATATTTGGTGTACCAATAAAACAAACAGAAAAGTCGAGTTGAGTCAACTTACAAGATTTGCTTCTCTTGTTCAATGATGGTCCTCTCAAAGCGGATGACATCATCCAGCATATTGGACGACTTTTGGAAGTAGACATCTGGAAAGACAAATGTGACATGTTGAACACGACATTTAATTTCTGCTCTGGCCAGTGTACCACATGAAACCAATATCATATTATAAAATCCTATATGTGTATCAGATCAATATAATTCCCACCCTGAATCAATCCTGTACCCCGGGAGATAACGATGTGATACAATATATCATCATATTGGGATGAAGGGATCCACTTTAGGTCCACTGATGTTCTCAACGTACATACGGTACATGTAAATGGCCTCCCCAGTTGGTGTCAGGGCGTTAATTCCCAACGGTTACACGGAAGATACTGTCATCTGTGTCTGCCAAAACATTTAGCGTGGTTGAACAGCATCTAACACAGGTCTTATTTAGCGTCAATAATTGGCTGGAGGAATCTGACTTAATATATGGAAACAAAACTGTCCATGTGCTTCTCAAAAATGAAATCACACAAATCCACTGGCACCTTCAAGGCGCATATTGCCTACGTCGGGTCACGATTTCATATTTTTTTCACAAAGCTACACTATTAGTCCGGCCACACGTTGAGGGTGTTGTTGTTTTTATTAGAATTTTTTTTTTTTAAACATTGTTGACTAAACTTATGTGCCTTCTTTGACAATGCAATGTTCATGGTTAAGGGTCCTCTTGGCATAGGATAAAGAATACATGCCTGCGAGACGATGTTTTATTGTACAGTTGGTGTTTTGAGTTCTTTTGCTTCAAGTGTAAAACGTTGCCATGCTAATTGTTCACCTGCATGCCCATGGAGTTTCGCATTGTACGTTAGCATTCGAGCATCAGTGGATATGTGACCATGCGTGCTTTAAATACATAATGTGTAATTCTCTTTGTCGTATGTTGAGTTTGACAGTATGATGAGCAACTGACCGGGCTGGGTGTTCTTCTGGACCGTTTGGATGCTATCTTTCATGTAGATGACGCGTTCTTGAGCTCCCTCCGTCAGGTTGTGGATGCTATCCAGCTCTTTTTGCAGATAGTCCAGACTGTCGTGGGCATTGGATGTGTATCTGTGCATGTAGTCGGCCACGCCGCACGTCGTGGGACAGTACTTGCCCTGCAACGGCGACTCGGCACATTGGTGACGCTGACGACAGTTCGGGACCCGCCAGGCGGCTCTGCCCGAGTACTCACAAAGCCGTCGTTGGGGTGGCACGTCATGCTGTTGTCGTTTCTGACGGCAATGTTATCTCCTCGGATTTGCTAAAAAGACAAACAAACAAAACAGAGTAAGAGAGCTCAGGGGAGTGTAGCATTTTGCTGTTCTCTGTTAATTGTCACAGGGTCAAGTTTCAAAAAGTCATACTTTTGCTTGAAAAAGGTGGGGGGTTGAACATGGGGGAAAAAAAAAAGTATTTTTTGTGGAACAGAAATATGTGAAAAACTCATTCCGTAAAAATTTGTAATATATATATATATAGGAGAAAATGTATTTCCATAGAAAATCAAGATTTTTTTTTCCCGCCTGAAAATTTTTTATTTAAAAAAATCTGATTCTGAGAAGTCATGTTTTTTCAGTCATATTTTTTCTTAAAAGAGGTAATTAAAAATAATACTTTTCCTCAAATCTTGTGCAAGTTAAATATCAGTCTTTTTCGAAATGAAAAAAAAAATTAAAAAGCACAATCTAATGAGAAAAAAGTCTTTTTTGGGGGGAATGCTTTTTTTGAGAACCCATGATATTTTAAAATTTATAATAAAACTGACAATAAAGAGTCTTACAATCAATCCACTTATTTTTCTTTTAAATAAGAATTTCCTGTGAAAGTTTTTTTTCGTTCAAGAAAAAGATTGTGATTAAACAAAAACGTAAAAACAAAAAAGTGACCTTTTTTTAAGAGGCAAAATGCAAAATAAAAAAAAATTAACTGACTTATTTTCAGAAGAAAATATTTCTCTGGGGGTGGGGGAAACCCACCCTCAATTTTTTCTTAGGAACATAAAAGTTTTGTTTTGTCAAAAAGAAGCATCATTTTTTTTCCCAGAACGGTTTAAAAAAAGGCCAGTTTTGTTTTAGGACTTACGGCCGACGCCACGGAGAAAAGCAGAACAAGCCCGGCGTGGGCCACCAGTGATGAGGCCATGTTGGTTCCTGGTCTTGGTCCTTTTCGCTGAGTGTGAAGCTGTCCCACTCACCGCCACCGCGTATTTATCGGGGACAAGGTCCTCCGTCGGATGTTTGATGAGAGGTTCAAACGTCAACACAACACACACGCACGATGACAATGACTCAAACGTCCACTCGGATCATTTCCCAGATTTGACTGTGTTGATGTTCCCTCTCACCAAGTCGGAGATGCTGAACGTTCTGTTTCATCATCACTATTAAAAATGGTATGTTTTTATTCTGGTTCCCTCCAATGCTATGGTCAGAGTATGACACTGTCCCGCCAAAAACTGGATGATGACCATCTTTTCCGTTTGAGAGAACGCAATGTTTTCAATTAAAAATGGCTTTCATCTTGAACAAAACTTTTTTCCCCCTTAAAAAAAGGATGGGATTATTTTGTATTACATTGTTTTTCTTTTAGAAGATGCCATTTCCGCCCCAACAAAATACAAAAAAAATATTTTGGTCAGATTTTCCGGTAATGTTGGACTGCAACTTTTTTTTTTTTGTGCGGGGGCGGGGGAGAGAAAACATTCCCCCCCCACAAAAACTGTCTTTAATTTCATTTTTAAGACTTAATGTAAAAACAAAAATTAAAAGTTCTTACATTACGATTTTTTTTTATCGATGTAATATGACAACTTGAAAAATTATCCATCCACTTGATAAAAGTTTGAAAATGACGACATTATTTCCTGTCAGAAAAGGTTAAAAAAAAAAAAAGTATTTTATCGATTGCCCTACAAAGTAGACATTCATGTCTGATTAGCTTCAACAAAAAATATTTGGAAACCAAGGAAAACTGGACAGTGTGTATTTCGGTTGCAGTGTCAGGTGAAACCACAAGTGGGAGCTGTACTCCAAGAAAGTGAAGACGATGGATTCCACTCAATGAGTCTCACAAGCTTCAACCACAAAAAAGCCTCCAAAAAAAAAAGCTTTATTTTATTCTCTCCAGAATATTTTTTCTTGAAGAAATAGGGTCTCTCGTAAATATATGACTTTTGAGAAAAACATTTTTTCTCTTTTTGAGAAAAGGGCAAAATTTAAAAATATGCATGCAATCATACATTCTAAAAAATAAGGCAGAACTGCAGCAACTTTTTGGGTTATTCTTTTGACCTGAAAAGTTGAGACAATTAAATAACCCACCTACATTCCCTCAAAATCAGTGCAGTGCAAAAAATGGGTTGTTGAGTGCACCTAACTTTGGGGGTTAAAAAAAAATGCATTTGGACAAAAGGACCGAAAAAGACTATATCCTGAATTTTTTGAAAGATAAGTTTAAAAATGAAGCCACATTTTCACAGAGAACACTAAAATTTTTTTCCTTAATCAATATTTTTAAAATAATTTTGTGTGCTTTTTTTTCCTGGGAAAAAAAAAAGCCTTTTCCCCACTCAAAACAATACAGCGACAAGAAAAGTCTGCCCTTTTTCAGACCCCCCCCCCCAAACAAATAATTATTCCTCTTCCAGCATCAAGGCCAAAGGGTGCCTTTTTGAGCCGAGCACATTCAGTACAAAAGTGCTGTTGAACGCACCTCAAAGCAAGCAGTGTGACACATTGGCCTCATGTTGACTTTGTATGCTGAATCCTACCTTGGCCTTCCCTCCGCGTGACCCGCTTTTATGACACGCAGGCCCGGGGAGAAGACGGATGTCAAGCCTGAAGAGCGACCCGAGTGTGAACCGGCGGGCGGACCTAAACACTGCTGAACTTTAAGTGAACCGGCCGGCCTCTTTGTGAGCCGCAGCAGATGGAAAGCGTCTCGGTCCGTGCCAGGGTGCCTTTCCTAACTTTTGGCTGAACCTCGAAGCTCCCGGGCCGCACGCCTCCACTGTTGACTCAAGCGTCGGCGAGGCCAAAACACGGCGCCGACTCATCCACTTCAGGCCAGCAACGATCCTTGCAGGAATTCTAAAACGGGGCTTCACGAACCTTTTGGGTCGAGTGGAGAAAACTTTTCCGAGGACCGCCTCATTCTCTTTAACGCCACTTAAACATAACGATCTTGGGGAGCGCTAAATGCCATCAGAATGAAAACGTTTTTTGTGGAAAAACTTGTCTCGTTTTAATTGCAAGTTTTACAGCTCTTCGAACGAACGAAAGGACTAATCGAGAAAAAGTAACGGACGGCCAGACTGAGAGAGGCGTTTTACCAGGATGCGCTAAATTTACCAAACGAATGGTTAAACAAACAAATGATCAAAAGTTAGCTCGTTTGTTCAAACAAACCGGCAAACCGACTCACTAATCAACGAAGACTTATCATATACAAAAGTGCTGCCGCCTTTTAACGGACGGCCAGACTGAGAGAGGCGTTTTACCAGGACCGCCTTTTCTGCATCTGGTGGCATCTTGGTGCTGTAGTGAGTTGAGGAGCTTCACTGAGACAAAAGCAGGCTTTTGCCAGCATCTTGCCTCAACCATAGGCAACGATGGTACAGCTTCCCCCTTTTGGGAGGAGGGGAAGAAAAAAAAAAAATCTACGTGATGATAAGTCACACATATCAGAGCTTTACAATGGCCCGAAAGCCAACGGTAGGAAGGAGTCATTCGTTTTGAATGTTGCATTGACACACTTTTGTTCATTTTATTAAATGACATGCAAATTGTTTTGCGCGCTGCCAAGTTACATCTCGCGCAATCTGACGGCCTAAAGTGTGCAACCTCTCAGTGTAAGTCGCCCGGTTGTAAGGACAAGTGGGGCAAAGGTTGGCCCGCGCGGCCGCCTCCGGGTTCAATTGGCGGTCGCGGACGGTAAGCTAAGCTAAGCTAAGTCTACTCAGCTGAAGGTGGCGTGATGGCAAGAGAAAAAGCCTCTTGTTCATACGTTGTTGTCCCACCCTGTCGCCAGGTTTAAAAAAACAACAACAAACGTTTAAAAGGCACATGTTAATGCCAGCTTCATACTTTAACCTCTGACACGGTATGCTTGCCTCCGATGGGGGCAAGGGGGTGGGTGTCACTGCCACACTTGGCCACGAAGCAAGTACACCAAAACTGCCAAAATCTCAAAATATAGAAACAGGATTAGTACCAAGTAATGAGCAGATGAAAGAAACAAACAGACAAACAACACAGTTTATCCTGCTTGGAACCAAATAACTAACTTACTAGCTAATTATTTTGGTAAATAACTGTCAAGTGAAAAAACAAAGAAACAATCCAGATCTGCATCAACTAAATTGGCAGCTCAAGAACGCAGAACCAAACAATACATTTTGTGTGGATCTGTATCCACTAAAAACTGAAAAAAAAGACAACAAAAAAAAGTTAGCTTGATATGCCCTAACTATGCTTCCGGGACCCCGGTTTGAGAAGGAGCTCAACAGTATGTGGGTCAACAAGCACTGAGCAGAGCCTGCGGTTGCTTTCGTGGCTCAAATGATGAGCGTGTCGAACAAAGCGAACAGGATTGGGCTAATCTGGACAAAAGGAATGTTTTCATGCCTCTGAGAAAAGTGCATCTTGGAGCTATCCTCCTCCTCCCTCATTTTTATTCGCGTCTCTTTCTGTTGGGCTCATTGGATACAAGAGAAAGGATAACTCTTGGGTGCCCCCCCGCCCCCTGCAGTTTTCTCGTTTCAATCTGGGGAAGGCAACCTTTTTGCAAGATGCTTTTAAAGGGATTAGAAGTTTTGGTTGTGAGGTTGAGGTTATATTTGGGTTGAGGTCAGGGATTGGGTTAGGCTGCTAGACCCCCCCCCCCCCCCCCCCCCCCCGCCAATTTGGCTTATTTTGTGTGTTATTCATTTGACCTGACGTTAATGGATGGATGGATTTGTCAAAAAAAATAGATATATCTTTTTTTCCGGGGGCCACATCCCATCCCTAAATATTAGGAGCGTTCAAATATATTTGTTTTGTAAATTCAATCCCGCAATCGTAAAACGTCACATTATTAGCTCTCGAAACGCAAAAAGGTTAACTTCTTCATACACTTGAATTACAGTTAGAAAAAAAAAGTTCAACACAGCCTGCACAGCTACGAAGCTTTTACGACAAGCACTTATACCCTGCAACATATAATAAATAGAATTTACATCCTCTTTCTTATGGTAAATTTTAACCACCCTTGTTACTCTGGCACAGTTGCAGCAATGGAATATTCCTCAATGCTTGTGCACACACTTTTTTTTTTATTTTCTGCTGCGAGGGATGGCGGGGGGTTACATTTTTGCAAGAATCAAGCCAAACGTGACTTTTTATGCTTTAATCTTATTTGTGTGCATGTGCTGCTAATTCCCAACAAACAAAACCAACTCACACACACGTAGACGTGTGACGAGAGGCACCTTGGTGGGCTGGATGTGCAAGTGGAGGGGCTACCCATTCTCGTTGCTAATAAAAGGAGCTCCTCAGAAGCACCGCGAGCCAGAGTCATCATGATCAACTTATTCGCCTTCCTTGTGGAGAAACTCGCCCTCCTCTGCAAGCTCAAAGTGGTCGTTTTCGGCTCGGCGCATGCGTACGAGCGTGCCACCCAACCCCGGGGAGCCTCATCTCCACCCCCGCCTCCTCCGCTGCTCCGGCGGGGCGATCTCCTCGAAGTACCCCGCACGCTCTTCACCCACTTCGGCGTCTACCTGGGCGACGACCGGGTGGCGCACCTCATCCCGGACATCCTACCGGCGCTCACCGACGACCGGCGGCGTTTGGCCACGGTGGTGAGCAACGGGCGGCTGATCGCCGGATGCTTGTGCCGGCGCGCCACGGTGCGCGTGGACAGCCTGGAGGACTTCGCGTACGGCTCCCGGATCCTGGTCAACCGCGCGGAGGGAGCGGCGAAGGGGGCCATGGCGCTACCGGCGGAGGAGGTGGCCCGCCGGGCGGAGGCGCTGCTGGGCAACTTCCCGTACAGTCTGCTGTGGAACAACTGCGAGCACTTCGTCACCCATTGCAGATACGGACGAGCCGCCAGCCGACAGACCGAACAGGTAACGACAGGACGACCCCCCCCCTCCCCCCCACACACACACACACACACAGCGTCTTCGCGGATTTTTGGGTTCGATTTCTTTTCATCCATGATCTGCACTGCTTATCCTTCCACGGGTCGCGGGTGTGCTGGAGCCTCTCATCACACGTAGGCGGGGTGGGGGTGGGGGGTAGGGGGTTTACACCCCGAACTGGTTGTCAGCCAATCGCGGGGCACACGGAGACAACTTTTCATACTCACAATCACACAGTTTAGTGATCCATTAATCTGCCATGGATGTTTTTTGGATGTGGCAGGAAACCGGAGTACCCGGAGAAAACCCACATTGGCACGGGAGAACATGCAAACTCCACAGAAAGAGGCCCGGGGCCCGGAATCGAACCCTGCACCTCTGCATTGCAAACTTCAATTAGTTTTTTACCTGCTCAACACTTTGACTTGCAGTCTTTTCAGTCTTCGCTACGACAACTTCACAAAATTCTACCAAACAAGTCTGTAATAAACGGAAGTCAATAAATCCGTTAATGAAATCACAAACAATATTGCGGGGAATTGCAATTAGCAAATTTTTCAAAATCGTTCAACCCTACAAGGAACTACGTTGAAGTGAGTTGGGGCCCTTCTTGTGGCATCCTGCTGTTGAAATGAGGAGTATTCTAATTGTAAACAATCACCTGTGTGTTTCTTTGTTTGTTCCTTCCCTAGTTTTGCGAGTGCGTAAAATGGGTGATCAGAGATCGACGCAGCGTCCTGCTGACGGCAATTCTGGGAGTCATCTCCATGCTCTTGGGCGGCATGGCCACCTCAACTACATTACCCACAATTCTTATCCCCTTCACTCTCTGGATGGCCGGCTAATTCCTGTCGATTTTTAAGCCGTGTTTAGAGTTGTCCATGAAGCACCTTAGAATTGTCTCAGTTCCTTCCCATTTTTCCCTCTAATGACAATAACTGGATTATTTCATTGAAGTGTTTTTTTTTGTTTTCTTTTGTAAAAATGTGTAAATAATAAAAATGTTATTTTTATGGTTGTCAATTTGCGTGTGTGATTTGTCAACAAAAAAAAATGTGGTGTCGAACGAGTCTCGCTGCATTTTCAGAAACATGGCTGATGTTAAGACTTCAAATGACCTCAACGATTTTTTTCTCCTTTCGCATCATCAAACCTAATGGTTCCATTTTATCGTACATTTTTTTTTTCTCGCAATCGTCAAAGGCGATATTAGCGTCGGCAAACTTTGACAGCCCCATTTTTGAAAGTGTCACGTAAAGTCTTCAACAATCTTAACCCTTTCATGCACCCTGTAATCTGATAACTTGATAAACTGTCCACTGTCGTCGCCACTGGCCCTGAAAAGGTTAAAAAACGTATTTTAGTGAACCCAAAAAAGTAGTCTTCATTCAACTTCAAGTAAATGTTTTGAAACCTTACTGGATGACTCAAAGCTGCTGAATCATGATGGCAGGCGTTCAACAACCAAAGCGGTTTATCAATTGGCCAACTAATGTCGACCTTTTCCCAATGAGGATTTGTTCCTAATGACTTAAAACCTGGAAAAATAGTCCCACCAAACCCTCCCCCCCCCCAAAAAAAAAAACAAGTTAATGCACATTGTTTTAGTTTTTGTGAACTTCAAAGACAATTTTGTAAAAATAATTTAGGTTTGAATAAACGTAACACGTGTTATAGAAAACTTGATTGACATTTTCAAATCTTTGATGAACTTTCGGTACTTTTCATAAAACATTTCATAAAAACAATGTTCGTGTTTAGGTAAGCTACAAAAAAAAATTGTCTTTAGAAAATTTACCTTATCTTGGTCTTTAATAAACATCATGTGCATCATTTCGTAAACTTCAAAGTCTTTCATTTTCAACAACCCGAATATACGTACGTATTTTTGGAAACAGTCACCAGTCTCGGACAAATCTAACGGATGTTTTTGGATGCAAAAAAACCCCAAAACAGTTTCATCTTCACAAAACACCGTACTAGTTTTCCTAAATATCAAAATTGTCCTCAAGAAACTTCATGTTCGCTTTCCGGAAGACCGACTGAAAACGATTGTTTTCAACAAATCTAAAATACGGATTTTTGTATTCCTGACTGACAGTCAAGAGTTTTAGACAACTCAGTGGGCCATTTCATCTTCAAAAAAAATTCAATATCATCAGCCTCTTAAAACAAAGTCAAATTTTGACCGTTGAAATGTTTTTGCTTTCTGCTACGATCGTCTCCATCCTCAGGTCAATGGATGATTCAATTTTACCCTTGAAATGAAGTTTTTAATCAAAACGATGCTATCAGTATTTGGTTCTGTTTTTTTGTGTGTTTTCTGGAGAAGATTATTTGAGGAAAGTGATATCACATCCAAGACAAAACAGGCATCTATTTCAGAACGTATCCATTTTCGTAAACAAAGTGTCATTTTCGCTTCATATGCCTTGACTTGTTTTTCTTTTCACAAACATCAAAGACAAATTCCACTTGAATCACGTCAACATCGTTGACAATTTTCAAACATCGCATGACTCAAAGATGTTTTTTCCCCCCCACATTTATTCAGAAGCAATTGCGGATGCCTTTCGAGTGCTGACTAATGCTGAGACGAGTCGCCCGGCAAAAGCGGTTTATTTGCCCGGCTGCCTCACATCGCCCCCTTTTTTTTTTTCCCCAAATGAGGATTTGCGCCTGACGCGGACCCTCAACCTTAATTCCCTGCAAATGAATCCCCCAATTTCACATTCCAGACCGGCCACGGAGTTCTTAGAGAAAGCGCCTTTCTTTCCAGTCGCGCTGGGATGTCGGCCAATCGCTAATCCCGACCCAACCCAACTCACCACCCGATAAAAGCGCCCAGGTGTGGGCTTGGCTCTCACATGCGCACGATGTTCCTCTACCAGCTCCTCAGCTTCTTCTTTGCCACCTCCAAGAAGGAGGAGGAGGAGGAGGAGCGCGGCTCAGGCTACGACCTGTCCCAGTACAAGAGGGGCGACCTCCTGGAGGTACCCCGGACCCTCTTCACGCATTTTGGCATCTACCTGGGCGACGGCCGGGTGGCCCACCTCATCCCGGACATTCTGCCGGTCGTCACGGGCAACAAGGCAGCCGTGGCCAAGATGGTGACCAACAACCGCTTGCTTCTGGGCGTGGTGGCCAAAGCGGCCAGCGTGCGAGTGGATTCGCTGCGCGACTTTGCTTACGGCTCCCCGGTGCTGGTGAACCGCATGGACGGCGTGTGCAAGCAGCCGCCGCTGGATGCCGACGAGGTGGCCAGGAGAGCCGAGAAGCTGCTGGGGGCGGTCGCCTACAGCCTGCTGTGGTATAACTGCGAGCACTACGTCATGTACTGCAGATACGGCATGGCCATCAGCTACCAGACGTACCAGGTACACGCCGACGCGAGCGAGGCCTGGATTGTCTCTTTCCGGATACAACAAAAGGTCATTGACCCTACAGTGGTCAGCATAATTTGGAATGGGTCAGAATAGTTTGTTTTTAATTCATCGTAACAGTTTAAATTAATTCGTTTTCATTCATTTTTAGAACAGGTTCGTTCGTTTTCATTCAGTATTTTTACATGCTTTGTTTCAGTTTGGGTTTTATTTGCTTTGGTATTAGTTTTGGTTTTATGTATTTTGGGGGGATATAAATATGTATATAAAAGAAATAAAAATGGTTTTCAATATTCAATAAAACTAACATACATTTTTGTAAACGGTGAAGAGAAATGAGCCTTTTATAACTCAGCGCCCGATTTTTTATAAATCAAGAGAACTTTCTTTTCTGCACTTCGACTTTCACATTTTCATGAACCTGAAACAGTTTTTCCCGTAAACACTGAAGATAATTTGGTTTCAAACTAATTTTTGGAATGGGATAAAGCGTTCTTTTTCAAAACCAAACAATTTAGAGCGAACAGGCTCATGTTTATAGACTCACTTGACTTATGAAGATTTTCTTGTTCCACAGCATTTGCCAATTGTTGTGTTGTTGCTTTGGGGAAAAGATGAAGGCTAAAAGTCCACTCTCACTTTAAATCCGTTGATGACTCGCGCACAGGGTGTGAAACAGTGATTATTGGGAGTCGACCTGCACCTAAAACTAACATGTGTGACTGTTGCTTGCATTGTTTTTTTTTCTCCTCCACAGTTCTGCACGACGGTGCGGAAGATTGTGTGCAGTCGCACCAGCTCATACGTTACAGCCTTGTGCGGCGCAGTTGTCCTGCTTTACCTCGGCTGTGCCACCCCCATCACCATTTTGGCCACACTGCTGCTGTCTTTCACCATCTGGATGGCAGCCTAGACAGGCCTGAGCCCCCCCCCCTCCCCACCCCCCCACCCAAAAAAACTCTTTAAAAAGCACTGGATGGATTTCACAACCCAGTCCCCGAAAAAAATACTCTGCACCCTTTGTACAGTTGGAAAAAAAAAATCATATACTACATGAATGCATATTATAGATACATGTAGACACATATGCATCCATAGAGATAAAAACATCACCATTTCTTAAATAAAATGTAAATATTGCACCAGTGATTAAAATAGAAATCTATTTTTTATTTGACACTATATGTGCAACACTATTTTTGCTAAATATGAATGTGTTTTTTTTTTAAAATATTTACATGAATCAAGATATACACAGAAACGAAATCTCTTGTTTTTATACAGTATGGACTACAAAAAGCCTAATGTTGGTGTTTGGCGCCCTCTGTCGCTTCATTTTTGAAATGGTTGTACATTTGCTGTCAATGCTCCAAGTCGTTTTACACGTTTTTGTTACTTTATTTTCTTATTTGAATGTGACAAATTGTCCAAATAAAAAGACAGGGGTTAGAGTACCACCTGCTGGTTTAGCGTCTTCCTGATAGGCTGAAGTTGCATTTCATTGATTTTTTTTTTAACTTTTGCTCAAGTTAGAAAACAAAAGGAAACCAATATCAAGAAAAATATACGAGAACCACTTACCTTCATTTGGGGTTAATCAGAGGATGAAAATTATTTTTATAATGGCCAGTCGTTTTACGGAGGGCATACTTGCATACTGCCAATCCTAAATTTTTAGAGGACAGAGCAACAAAATTAGCATCCTGCACATTTCAATTTCAGTTTAGCAAACAACAAACTGTATAATTTGAAAAAGACAATTTTTATTTTACACAAAGATAAGCAAAGAAAAAAAAATGTACCAAGCGGGACAAAGGTTTCAAGTAAACAATTGTTCCACACAATCTTCACATCTCACATTTGTCACATAACCAAGGTGAAGTCTGCCTACATTTGCCACAGATAAATTTGCCACAGGCTTCACAACGCCGAGTACTTCTGCTTTTATTGCAGTGTAAGCGTGCCGAGCACTTCGTCTTTTTTTTTATCTGCTGACTCTCAACTTTCATCTCACGGCTCGGCTGTTTACGCTCTTCCGCTTGTTGTTTTTCCTGCATCAGTCTCCTTTTGAGCTCCTCTGAAAGATCCAGCATGAACAATCGGCGACTTTCTTTTGACCCTGTACATGCTGTGTACAAAACATGTGCATTTGTGGCAGCCAAGTCAAGGAGGTTATAAAACACAGCCATCGGCCATCTCCTTGTACCTGCACGCACAGAGTAATTGCGCAATTTCTGGTCAACTCATTTACACCCTTTGACGTATAAATACGTCAATTAGCTCATTGCCGCTGCCTCCCAATGACGCGAAAATACGTCAATCACGTTTTTTCATGGGGGAGGGTGCAAAAGAGTCCGATGCAACTTCTCACCAAAGGATTACGTCTCGTAGATGTGGGGAAAATATGCGCCGTAAATGTGCTGACTTGCGTGTCGCCATAGGTTTTCAAAAAACAAACAAAAAACAGGGCACATTTGGTCCGCTCGGCTCTGCTAAAACCACGAGTGTTCAATTCATATTCCATTTCATGTCAAATTGGATGCTGTGCGAGAGCGTGTTTGAGAGATGTTGAAATGTAAGTGTGTATATAGCAACAATAAAAAAAATAGAAAAATAAAAGTGTGGTAATGGTACATACTTCTATAAATTACAGATTGTCCAACCAGAAGCCAAAAGATGATGACTCCTTGCTTTGGTGGTGCAAAGAAAGGTAAATAAAAGTATTCCACCTCACTCTGCAGCAATATATATTTGCAACTTTTACGTTTCCATCATTTATAGGTCGTGCATCTGGACGTGGTGGGGATGAATCGATGTGGCGACAAACTGGATGGAAGCCAAAAACCATCCTCTTCACAGCTGCACTTGTGTTCATTCAATTTGCACGTTTGTTCATAGTCCGATAGTTTTGTCCTGTGCATATAAATTATTTTGCGATAAAAAACATTTTTTGTAATGTTGTTTTGTCGGAGGAACACATTATTGAGGTATTTGAGCTGTCACAAAAGCAAAAAATAGTGTCAAACTTGAAATGCATGCTTTTACAAAAAGCTCATTTTCTCTGGATTTCTGAAGAAAATCGGCCTTTTCCATAAAGCTTAGCAATTTTCTAATGCCGATTGCCAATGAACGGAGAAAGATAGAAACAAACTTTTTTTTCTGCTGAAAGAAGAGAGTCTCACCTTTCTTTTGACCGGTTGCATGTTTATATAGCCATAGAACAGAAAATTCTGTGGGCCTTGCAAATCAGTCAAAATTCAGTAAAATGGGAGGGATTGAGGGGGTTGCTCCAGTGAAAAAGGGGGCTATTCAATGAGTTATGTCAACATTTGAGATTGTGCGGGACAGCTGTGTCTTTGTCAGTGGGTAAGTACCCACTCGTTGATGGGTACTTAAGAATACAATGGAAAGTAATTAGGGGCGTGACACATAAGGGGTGTTCACAAGGCAACTTTTAGTCCGGTGTAGCACCGGGGCTGCCCCCCCCCAGAGTGTTCACACGTACAAAGTTACACCGGTGTAGCCCCTGAAAACATAGCAAATTTAATCCTGCTCAAGGAGGTGGTTTAAAAATTTGCTCCGGAGTAAATGCTCGTTTGCGGGGCAGCACCGATGTAAAACGGCACGTGTGAACGCTACAACAGGGGTAGACTCGCTACGCATGAGAAGAGTTGATTACATACGGGTAGAATGCGTTGCTTTCGTGCTCTGTTGTACTTCCGTCATTTTTCCTTTTGTAGGAGACTGGACTGTCTCGGAGTTGTTTGTGTAGTTTGTTCCTCTGTTGTGTGTTCCCCCGCCCCATAGAATTTATTTTGTGATTTCCTCTCTTGATTTGGCGCATTATGTTTGCTTTTCTGAGTGTCATTGAAGTCATCGTTGATTTACGTTTTCGGGGGCGGTCATTGAACGCCTCTCGAGCAGAAGGCACCGAGACCGAAAAGGAGAAGGACGTGCCTGTAGTTGCTTGAGTTCAACAAATTAATAAAGTGTATGTTTTAAAGAGAACCAACACGACTGCTCTTTGATTTATTTCCGTATTAATACTATCGTATTGCACGGCCGCAGAAACTGCCGTGTGCACGCAAGTGGGGCTGCACCGGGGTAAACACGCTTCTCTTTAGTCAGCAGCTTTTTACATGTGAACGCTCCACAAAATTTGCACCGATGTAAGCTATATCGGAACAAAATACGTCGGTGCAGCACCGATGCAAATGTGTGCCGTGTGAACACCCCTTAAATGTCAAGTGATGTCACACTTCCGGGTTTGCCGCGCGTCAGGATCTCGCTTCGGAAAAAAAACATGGCTTTGTCGAATGTAAGAAATAGAAATTATATGTTTTCATGCTTTGCTTTATTTAATATATTGATTTTCATGACTTTATTTGTGACATACAAATATTTCGTTTGGGATTTTCTGAAATTACTCGACGTTTCAATGACGGCGGGTGGGCGCCGACTCCCACGTCACACGAGTTTTGACCAAATGTCGGTGACGTGACTGGGCTTCAAAGAGCCTTGAACCTGGCTCAGCCGAGCGGCGCGGCATAAAAGCGAGACACGAAACCCCGCAGGGATTGATGGAGGCGAGGCTTCAAGCTTATCGACGTGCAGGTGGACCCGCTGACCCCTTTTCTAACATTTAATGTGCCTTATCTAGCTTGTATTTCTGACTCGGCGGCCACGGAATCAGCCATAGGCTTGTTCATGATCTTTTTTTCCTCCCCTTCTTAGTAAGCAAGTCACAGAGTTCAGCTCATTTTCCCACATGTACGTTATTCATTTCATATTTGTGTTTGTTTGTGGTTTTGCTACCGAAGCGCCAGGCCTCCAAGGATGCCAGGCTGCAACCTCTCCCACAGTTAGGGCGGTGTGAAAGGATGCCGCCCAAAATAAAATGATGGATGTTCTTGTTTACTGGCAAAATGTGACACGGCGAGGTGGCAAGATGCCAAAACGGCGAGCTGTGAAGTCACACTTCTCGCACCACAAAATGGCACCTCAAAAGCGGTCAAACGACCGACGCAATGTACACAAAATACATTTATCGGTTGTTTATCCATTGTAAGAATGATGACGAATAGTCAATTATCATGTAGTATCGATTGCAAAAACAAAGCAGTTATTCATTTCGCTGTACAACGATTATAATTATTCTATTACGATGTTTAAAGAATCTTATTGGTGTTTTTATTGGTGGTGACTTATTCTTCACGTGACTTGACGGAAGCGGTAAATAGTCAAAGGAGGACATGCTCAGCTAATCAGATGGCCGCCATGTTGGGACGCCTCCAGATTTGCCCTCCTCGCTCTCCCGACACCCTTGTGGACTTTGAGGAGGGTTTTTGATTACCTCGTTAGCATTCATGAGAAAAGGCTCGAGATTAACGGAGACGTAAACATGCGCTTTAAAGCGGGTTTTTTTTTCTTTAATTAAATCGCATTTTAATTGCTGGACTGTATAAATAAACGTGCTCATTAGGAACCTTTCAAAGATGACTACAAGCCTACTCATTAATGTTGCATCATGCAATCTTGGGAAAAGACATCATTACATTTTAAAGCGGGATCCTCGTATACGTGTGTGTGTGTATATGTTTGTGTACGTGTGTGTGTGTGTGTGTGTGTGTATATAAAAAATATGTATGCAGCAAAATAGTCAAGCATCTTTTGGGTACAATGGCCTACAAAATTGTCATGAGCCACCAGACGCTTGATCAATAATGTGCTTGAATAAGGTGTGTAATCATGTGAAAACTTACAAGCCACATGCGTTGCCGTGATGGGGGTCTTTATCAATGCCAGCCATTTTCAGACCCCCCCTCCTTTTTTTTTTTTTTTTTTTTTTAAAATAACCCCAACTCTCGAAAAAAAAATATATGAATGGGATTTAATGTGAGGAGTCTGAAAAAAACCCATCTAAATGCGTCTTTGGGAGCGGAGGGATGGCAGAGATCAATAATCAATTGCCCGTCTGCCTCATCATGTTCTCTTTGATCGATAGATATCAATTATCGCTCAGCACGGACAGGGACCATTACTCCTACACAGTGTGGCACGGCGGGTACACACTGTGACTATTTGTCAGAAAGTCAAATTATCCATCACAGACCTTTAATTTGTCCGCCATGCTGACAGAAAACATTTTTTATTTTTCTTCAAATGCAACTTAAAAAAAAAAAAAAGCACTATTTGGTTGTTCATGTTCGTTCCATGTGCACAGGATGTTAAAGACGAGGGAGAACAAAAACCTCAAGCTGAAACGCGTAAGGTCGTGAACGAGTGAATGAATGAAAACAGCAAGTATGAATGCATGAGGGAAAGGACGGATGCATAATGGCTGAATGAATTATTGAAGTCAGGAAGAATGGAGGCGTGTAAATGAATGAATGAATGCATTGACAGATACAAGTTGAAATGACGCAAACATGGCTGATTGAATAAATGGGTAGAAGTGTGTCAGTGCGGGAGTGAATGAATGAATGAGTGAAAATCGATGGATGGGTAGATGACGGAATGAATTACTTAAGTAACGAAGGGAGGGAAAACCAAATGAATGATAGGATGAATCCATGAATAAATGAATGGCATAACCGAGGGCTGAATGAATGGATGGGTGTAAGAATGAATGAAATGATGAATGAATGGATGGATGAATACGCAACAGACGCATCAATGCAAATGGAAGCATGTCATCCTTAATTTATATGATCGCCGGTGGATGATGGTTGACAAATGAATGGATTGTAGTGGAAGTAGCCGAAAGAGTTAAAAAAAAAAAAAAAATCTAAATTGTTAAATAATAACATTGAGAAATATTTATTACATTCTCAAAACAATTGAATGAAACGGTGTGCTTTTAAAAAAAAATCTTTGATTCATTTTCTTTTACTCATTCTGAGATTTTTGATTCTCTCTTGTTCCCATTCCAGTAAGTGCTCTTCTACAATGAAATGAGAAGCTGCAAAATTATAACAGTACCCCCCCCGCCAAAAAGACACGTAACCAGCACGCAATTATCATAATTAAATATGATGAGTGTGGATCCAAATAAATCATGCAAAATACGAAACGTTGGTAATGGGCGATCATGTAACCACCTGACCTGCAACGTGCAGCATCCTGTGCGCTGGCAGCGGCGGTGGTGGTCGGGGGGGGTGGGCTGAGACATGCAGCGGGGAAATCGCCACATTTTCACACGGCTTCTGAGTGGAGACGAAGCTCGCATCCTCTTTCAGCCTCCTCGTCTTCATCATCGCAACCTGCGCAAGGACTTGGACCGCAAAAAGACTTAACGTCAACTTCTTCTTGCGAACTGAGGTGAGACTTAGACACTTATTATATTTATTTATTTATTTTAATCTTAGAGTGGACATTACAGGTCCCTGTCTTATTGACATCATGTATGTCTGGAAAATGATACAATTCAACCCTGCCTGAAATCCTCGTGGGTACTTTTCAAAAAGAAGATCCCAGGAAGCTTTTAAAGGCAGCGTGAAAGGGGTTACCGCTGGTGACGGTGACGTGTGCGCAGCGACACATGGCTCATTGATTTCGGGAATACTCGACTGTATATTCTCACTCTAGCAAAGGTCCTACATCCAAATCAGCCCCAAAGCCACCATTTAAGATTTAAGCTAAAAAAAACAAACAAAAAAAAAAACTTAAAAAAACTCGGTACCTTTCACACACAGCATTGTCCGGGGAAAAAGCAGGAACATGTGGAAGAGGGCAACGGCTGTCAGCAGCGCCATGCAATTGATTCTCGCGTTGCGTTTTGGAGGTCTTGTGTTCAAATCCTGTGCTCAGTCCTCATTTCCATTGATCAGCTCTTCACGCCCCCTTTCACACGGAGTCGCACCGTAATGGGTTCATTAGAGACATAAAAATCGTGGAGAGATGCCGTTTTTTTTTTTCCGCCTCTGCCAGGTGATTTGCGCAGCCGTGAAAAAGCGTTGGCGGGCAGTGAGAAAGCGGCGGTGCTGGTGAAAAATTGGGATGGAGGAATTCCTGAAATTGGTGGGAGTTGAAACTTGTCCCAAAGTAGCTTTAAACCCGACACAGCTGTAAAGTGCGCATCACGGATTGGAGCGGTCGACCTCTTCTCTTCATCTGTGGTCAAATTCTCTCCCACTGAGCTGTGCCCCACTCGCTTGGGATGTCGTTTGTGTTCCAGCTATGTGGTGGCCATCGGGAAGTTCGGGTAAACTCCCGCAAGGTTGGTCCATCCCAGGCCGAAATGGCGGCACGCAGCCGAGGGCTGCGGCGAACCAGCATTGCGTATTGGTCCCTTTCAAACAAAAGAAATGGGCAAAGAGCCGAGCGGCAGCCTGAAACGCGTCTGCGGCGAGGCGTTTCGAGCACCTCTAACGGTGTTTACGTTTTGCATTTGCACAAAAGTGTTGCAGTCAAATGGAAAAATGTGGTGAAGATGTCAAGCATCCGTTGGTTCCGCAGAGCTGGCCGATGGGGTCGCGGCAACATGGACGCCGCCAACGCAAGCCAAGCGCAGCGGTCGTCAGCAAGCCAGCCCTCCGCTAACAGGATGGCGCCCACCTGGGATGAAGTGGTCTACCCGGGCCTGGTGGACAGCACCCGTCTGCCAGCCGTGCGCGTGGCGCTCATCCTGGCGTACGGCACCATCATCACCTTGGGCGTGGCGGGCAACGCCCTGGTGATCCACGTGGTGTTCCGCTTCCGCCGCCTGCGGACCGTCACGAACTTCTTCATCGCCAATCTGGCTCTGGCTGACCTCCTGGTGGCCTCCCTGTGCTTGCCGTTCACGCTGGTGTACACCCTGCATGGCGAGTGGGCGTTCGGCCGGGTGCTGTGCTTCGTCTTGCCCTGCGCTCAGGGCGCCGCCGTTCACGTGTCGACGATCACGCTCAACGTCATCGCCGTGGACCGCCTCCGCAGCGTGGCGCGCCGCCCGGACGGGGCGCCGCGCATGTCCCGGTGGGCGTGCGCTGCCGTGGTGGCGATCACCTGGGTGGTCAGTGCGCTCCTCGCCAGCCCGCTGGCCATCTTCCGCGAGTACGCCATCTTCCACTTGGCTCCCGGCGAGTCCATCCGGGTGTGTGCCGAGAAATGGCCCGAGGAGGGCGGCAGCACCCCCTACAGCCTGGCCATGATGCTGCTGCAGTACAGCCTGCCCTTGGCTGTCAACATGGGGGCCTACACGTGCATCTGGAGTAAGGTGAGATGTTTTTGTTTTTTTTGTTCTTCCGCATCTGTAAGAATAAGACTCCATGGCCGTGTCTCTACCTGTCTGGCATCCATTAAATAATGCAACTATGTAAATGCAAATATGTAGTCTTCTGTTTGTACAATATGGCGAGCGTTAAAGACAAAAAGGACCAGTGAAAATTTGCTCGGAACTTTTCAATTGGTGCCATGACCCGGATCCTTCTTTTTTCCAATCACCTGTTTTTATGCTCCATGCCAAAGCCAAGTCAAATGCAACAATATTGCTTCGGCACCATCTTGGTGCCATGGGACCATGTTGAAGGGAGTAGAGGACCTTCATTTAGTTAGGCCAGTGGTTCTCAGTTTCCAACTCATAAAATATTGAGGTCTCCAAGTACAGTACTATCAGAATGTCTTTTCTTTCTACCGTCTTTATTACCGATTTGCTTTACTGTTTGTTGTATGTGTTAAATTGCTCCATGTACAGCACTTTGTATGCAGCGATGGCTGTTTGAAACTGCTCTATAAATACAGTTGAGTTGAGTTGAGAATGACCAACATTAAAATACAGAAGCCAAGGCTTTTTAGTCCTAAAAAGTACAATTACTAAATTGAGGTTGTAAATGTTAATATTTAATTCAGTGATTCTTTCGCACACGAATGAAAGCCCAAGTACCACGAGATGAGTTTAGGCTATAACCTTGTCTAATTGAAACAAAAAATAATATATTGCTATGTTGCCACCTTGTGGCATCTAGGAAATTACATACCAAAATTTGTTGAAAAATAAACAAACACACACACACACACACACACACACACACACACACACACACACACACACACACACAATATTTGGTTTCGTTTCAATTCTAGCTCTCTGTTAACAACAGCACCTTTATGAATTTCTCTCAATTACCTGGAGCCAGATGAACGCCAGCCGCCTGTCGCGCACCCACCGCCGCCGTCGCAAGACCACCAAGATGCTGGTGATGGTGGTGGCCGTCTTCGCCGTCAGCTGGCTGCCACTGCACGCCTTCCAGCTGGCCGTGGACATCGACAGCCGCGTGGTCTACATGGACGACTTCAAGCTGCTCTTCAGCGCCTTCCACGTGGTGGCCATGTGTTCCACCTTCGTCAACCCCATCCTCTACGGCTGGATGAACAGCAACTACAGGAGCGCCTTCTTGGATGTCTGCAGATGCTACCGGCCCTTTAACGTCCATAAAAAGATGAAAACGATGGCCTCCGCCCCAGTTTACAAGTCCAGCAAGTTCTAAGTCACACTTCCCATTTCAAATTGTTGCTCGGGTGAGGAGTGGGACTGTGATTGCCGTTTTATTGTCCGTCTCCGTGTTGCTGAACCGTTTGTGTTCAGTCCGTCGCTCACAGACTTGAAGCACCGCAAAAACAGATGCTGATTAGCGTGAGGCTAGCGGGGGGCCTTTCTTGAAGCAGATGTTTGGCTGTTTTAAATACACCGGGTGTATTTCTCTTTGTTTGGTTTGACAGTTCACTACAACGAGGAGTGGCGTCGTACTGTTACGACAGTATTGCCAAATTGCTGACTTGTTGTCCCTCTGCAGGCGCGACTGGCTGTATTAGAGCAACAGAAATGCATATGAAATGGAGTCTAATCTATTTTACATGGTCACCAAAGTCCAAGTTGCAATTACAGTGGTCGTACATACTCTTGAATGACTTCACTCTGTCAGATCCCGACTGGTTTTGAATGACTTCCGGAGGAAGGCTTTCCGGTTGTCTTCAGGTGCTACTGGCCCTTTAAGAGCGACAAAAACACCAATAAAAAAAGTCTCTACCCAATAGACAAGTCCATCAAAGTTTACGTTGGATTTTTTTTGAAGATTTTGTACTCTACAAGTATCCTCTATTCGCTAAGCACCCGACTAGTTTTGGATAACTACATGCGCACCTTTCGGTCGATTGTCGTAGTTTTAGCAGCCCTTGAAGAAGAATGACACAGGCAGCTCAAGAGAAAACGAAAGAGCGTTTTCAAACTTCATTCGGTGTCCCCACCACACGTCGTCGCCAAGAACGCCATTGCTTTTGAATGAGCTCCAAATATCGGGGATTTTCTCATTTCACTGTTGTGAATAAAAAGCAAGTCAAGAGTAATCAGACTGTCGTGTTTCTTCTGCATCAAAAAGCGAGGCTGATGATTTGACATGCTGCCGAACACTCTTAACTCACATAAGCATTGGTGGTTCAGTGGTAGAATTCTCGCCTGCCACGCGGGAGGCCCGGGTTCGATTCCCGGCCAATGCAACTTGCTTTTGCGAATTTCTCCATTGTGAGACAAATCAAGGTTTTCTTATTTTTTCATCTTAAAATACTTCATGGATTGAAAAAAAAAGTAAGAATGATAACTTTGATTAAATTACAGGCAAACCAGTTGCGCATTGATTTACATTCAATTTGTCTTGCGGTTTAAGCGGCGCTGCCTCGACGAGTTGCGTCAAAAATATTTGTTACGAATGCTTCTTAAAAGTGGAAAACTTTGAAAAAAAATGAATGTACACCTAATAAAGCGGAGCTTGGTAAGAGATAGTAGCCCAGATCATATTTGCTGTCCCTTCCTTTGTGGCGGGTTTATTTTGACCCATGTGTGTGCCTGGCAGAAGGACAAATGGGTTGTAAACACAAACCAAACAAACAAAAAATATAAGAAGCTTGTTGTGGTCAAAGGATAGAGGTCAAACGATGTAAAAAGACAATTCATTTGCTTTCATCAGAGAGAGAGCGAGAGAGAGAGACAGAGAGCACTTACATGTCCGTCTAACGGCTCCATATTTGTGCAGATTCATTTAATATATTTTGATTTATTGGGTTTTTCTTGACTTCCTCATGCAAGCTCCTTCAGAGACCCAACATCACCGACTTTCTTGTCTTTCAAGTTCAGAAGTGTGATTGTATTAGTCCTAATGGATGCCTTCGAGTACGATGACCTTCATGTGTGGGGGAGAGGGGGGGGGGTTACAGTCAGCCCCAATGTTGAAAGGTCCTAAATTATATTTCTGACAGACAAATGGTGAAAAAAAATGGGTCAAAAATACCTTCAGATTATGACATAAAATAAGCATGTATCGACATAAGTACAAGTAAAGGTTGAATTGAAGTGACATCACAAGAGATAAGATGAATTGAGGGCAGGATGAGGCATCTTTATTGGCTGGATGATGAGTCACAAACAGGAAATAGGGACAATCGTAAACAGGAAGTGATGCGTTTTCGGCGGACGGGAAGGCCGCAGCCAGGTGCTGTGCCATGGGGAGGCGGGAAGGGGTTGTTAAGTTCCATCCCGGGGCCTGATGCTGAACTACAAGTCGTGACTCTCAGGTGGCGGCCTGCTCCTGGCCCGGGCGTGGGCCTCGCAGTACAGCTGGCCCTCCACAAAGAAATAACCTTTCTGCTTCAGGTTGAGGTCGCAGTCAGCGCACACGAAGCAGGTCGGGTGGCGGAACTTGTCGCGAGCCTTCACCACCGTACCGCTGGAGCAGTACGAGAAATAAACACATGCGCAATCAAAAAAAGATAAAATAAAAGAATCAGGCTTCACCTCACATTCCTTTATGCTCCTCGGCTTGTGGACCCCCAACATTTGGGGCTACTCTGTACGCCACGTCCTTTTTCCTGTTCTTGGGTTGTCATCACAATATTTTGCCATCGCTGCTACTTGTAATACGGTCACAAGATTGAAAAGCCTCTGACCGCATTTTAAATGAATGAGAATAAATCAAAGTCAATCATGAGAATACAAATGAAATAAATAATTTTTAAAATACTAAGGGTTTTTTTTTCTATTATTTAAAAAAAACGCCCAACAATGAATGAGAATACATATGGATTAAAAAAAAATACCCGATTACATTATTTTACTGTTTTTATTTGAGCAGAATAAATATTTCAATCAATACAGCCATTTATGTACCCTTGTTCCATAATTTTGCGTCCGCGTTAAATGCATGACATTGACGCTAACTGATCCTGTTTGCTTTGAGGGATTTACTGCCATCTTGTGGCCTTACACGCAATTACAAGATGTTTACGGGAATGCTGATTTTTCAGGAATTTTCGCGACAGGGCTCGTTCCATATCGCAGTAGGATAGTATTCGCTTTTCATGTGTGATAATAATAGCGTGCGAATGTGCACTCACACAATGCCGTTTCCGCACTTGTCGCAGATGGGAAGTTTCTGCAGGTTTCCAGCAGGCGCGCTGGGTTTGGTGGTGGGCGCCTTGACTGTCCTGGTCACGATCGGTTTGGTGCCTGCAACCATACGCGCCACACCACATTTGGTGATAATTCAGAACACCAATCAATCATTTCACACAGTTACATTTAATCATGCAAATATGCATACTGTTTTTGATTGCAGCCACAAAATTCGAACAAAATGCCCAAAAATTGACTTTGCCCCTGCTGGACTTGTTGTGAACTGACCGTCGCTCTCGACATATTCCTGCAGCGCCTTGAAGGATCCCGACTGTCGAGGTTGTCCCGGTTCTTCGTGATCCTTCTGCAACATGCGATAGACGTCCGAATCCTCGATGTTAGCTAACGTCCTTGGGCTGTGTGCACAATGGCGACGGAAGGATGTCAGCGTGTCACGTATTTGACAGACGTTTTAGCCTGCGCTGTGCCATAAGTCAATCAATCTTTTGATTGGTATTCATTTATTTATGTGTATTCTATTTTTATTTTTCAGTTTTCTTTTTTTCCAGCTAAAATGACTTTTTCCTAGTGGCGTACCGTATTTTTCCGCACTATAAGACACACCCAAACACATTCAATTTTCTTAAAAACCGACAGTACGCCATATAATCCGGTGCGCCTTATACACGGATCAATATTCTGATTTCTTGGACATATTGCAAGTGACCTACAATGAATGCTGGTCTATCATATCGGGAGTGCAAAAGACAGAAAACACTGCGTCATCCCACCTGTCCTAAAATGCCCACCCGACGCATCTCTCGACACACTAACCGCGATTCAACATGCCCGGTGCGGCCCGTCTAAGCAGGAAATGGCCTGGAACAAGGGATGTGTTGCTTCTTCATCAGGTTAGGTAACAGCAACGCATGAATTGATGGATATTTATATCGTCATAGCGACACATCGTGCATCAGACGGACGACTGAACGACAAGGTAGTGGTTACCAAACTTTTGAAAACAATCAGTAGCTACAAAAAGTCACCATCTTGATGTTAAAATGCAGTACCGTAGTAGGGCCAGTGGGTTTTATTCCCTAAAAATGTGTAACGATGAGCACACGTTGAACGTTCACACTGTGGAAAAATATATTATATTCAGTTCAAACGGAGCGTACATAAAAGTTAAATACAAATCTTTACCCAAATAACTGTTCAAAACATGCACCGCGGTAATTTTCGACAATTAAAAATGAGGTTTTGACAAATCGTTTTTTTCCCCAGAATTTTTGGCAGTTGAACAAATATTTCAATGATATGGAGAAAGTATGATTTAAGATGTTTCCTTTATGGAGGATTTTCAAAATTATATTAAAAAACTGATTAATGAAAAAAAAAACAGATTTTTTTAGGAATAAAAAGGATTTAATTTTTATGATTTTATAATTTTAACAATTATATATTATGATTTAATAATTATGATTTAATTACGATTTTTTTTTTTTTTTTGTGCCGCAGAGAGGTGAAGGGCGTTCGTTGACCTGTCGGGCTTGGGGTGCACGAATCCTTTCATCTGCCCCTCCATGGCGTCCTGGATGTTTCCGGAAGAGTAGAGCCCGATGGGCGTGTTGTAAGTGGTGCTGACCACCTGATGCGTGTCGTCGATGTTGGCTGCCGCCACGAACGGCTGAGCTCGCCGGTTGTGCGCCACGCCGATGGCCTTGTACTCCTGTGCTGAACGAAGGTCAAAAGGTCAAAGTTGTCCAACCCATGAGCAGATGGAACCACTTCATCAAACAAACAGACAGACAGACAGATAATCCCCTGCAAAAATATTCAAACTTGATTACGTAGACATTAGCGAGTGCTTTTCTTTTTCTTTTTTTGGCTCTGGGGTTCACCTGCGAAAATACTTTTTGGAGGGGACTGTAAAGTCTAATTTCAGAGCTTTTCCAACTCACCTGGGGCTCGGATTGCAGGTTGACCTTAAAGGGGCTGCCGCCCTCCGTCACCCGCGGCGACCACAGTTTAGCTTCGCTTCTAAGAGCACCACAATAACAATTCGACCATTAAAAAAATAAAATAAACAAATAAACAAATAAAAATTAAAAACAAAAACAAACAATAGAATGCGCTGACAGAATTTTTTTTGTTGCTATTTTTCTTCCAGATTATTTTTTTAAACAATGTTTCAGAAATGATAAATAAAACAATTGCTTGAAAATAAATCAATAAAATAAAATAATTTGCCCCCACTACGACACCTTTAGAAATTATAGATAACTATTATTGCTACATCTAAGAAAGAAACTGAAGGATCAAAAAAATGTAGCCAAGAAATATGGAATCAGACTGTCAAGTTCCACCCAATTATTTTGCAGTTTCGCTCTTCCGTGCGCTTTCCTTCAAAGTGAAGATAAGACGAGAGACCGCTCACCTTTCCACGGTCAGCGTGAGCTGATGGGTGGCCTCTTTGATTTTGTTCTGCGCGTCGCAGTGCAGCATGTCAGCGGCGGACGCCCCCTCGATGGCCACGATCAGGTCACCGGCGCAAAGGTTGGCCACAGAGGCCTTGCTGCCGGGTGTGATCTACCATGACAGGAAGAGGAGACCGAAAACTCATTTACTGAACTACCAGTCATTTCAAAAGCGGAGTACTGGAGCCTATTTTGACCAGACTTTCAAGACTCCCGGCGTGTTGTGTTCTGTAACAATTTAAGCGGTGAAGCTACAAAAACAAAGAATAGATTCTCTTCTTTCACCTGACAAAAAAAAAAACAAAAAACCCAAAAACCTTTGTCTCTAGCTTTTTCCATTTTCTCATAATCTGCTGCAGATCATGGGTTGGGTTCACCAAAGCACCAATTTCTGACGAAAAAGCGGAGAAAAAAAGCTTTTTGTGAAATAAAAACATGTCAAACTTTGATGACAATGTTTTTTGCCTCTGTGGTAGGAATAAGCATCAAAATAAGACCAAGAATGTGTTTTTTGGGGCAAATTATCATTTTTTTCCAGCTCTATGTTTTTTGCTTCTGTGGAGGTAAAAAACAACAAAATGTAAGACCAAGAATGTGATTTGAAGGGCAAATTCTTTTTTTTCCAGAAAAAAAAAATTACCCACAGCATGGTACCATCATGTCTTTTGGTGTTAGCTATTCACACAATCATCAACACATCATCTTTTTTTTTTTTTTTAACAATTATGACAGATTTTCTGCTACCTACCATGACACACACGCTGTTTGAGTCTAAGGTGCCTAAACGTATCCGACTTCAAACGTATTGGCGCTTCTCACTGTGTTATAATCTTTCTTATTTGTTTCCTCTCCTCAAAAGCTGTGCTGATCTCTCAATGAAATTGAAAAGGAATGCAATTCTGCCCTCAACTGGCACCACTGTCTATACATCCATTCTTAATCTTTTTTTAAACGCACGCAACCTCATCAGAGTTGGTGCACCCACTTATTTCGCTCCCCCCCAGACTGTATCAGACAGTGTCTGCGAGGAGATCAGAGAAGGCTAACGAGAGGTCGCAGAAGATCAACCCAAAGGTTGCCAAAGAATATTCTGGCCCTTGATGCACCGGGCCGTGACCTTACTACATTACCACACACACGCACTTACGCACGCACACACACACACACACACACACACACACACACACACACACACACACACACACGCGCGCAATGAGGTCATGTGACTATAAATAAGGCCTTGAAGAGGGAGTGCTGATTTATGGCACACATCAGATGTTTTCCCGCTCGGAATGTCAGAAACGGGCACAGGTTTATTATTTTTTTTCCCCCTCTCCTCTTTTGTTTTCTTTCTTCTTTTTACTGGATTCGCTCCATGCAACTCATTTGAAAAGTACTCGTCGTAAATTACCACCATCGTCTCCGGATTTACTTGCTATGTCTGTTTTGGGTTATTTTTAAATCTCCACCAAGGAGCTCGATTCACTTGCTTGTACATTAGCTAAATATAAAAGTGTATGTAATTTGGGCAGAAAAGACAATGTGTGATTCTAATTTCCACAGATATTGATTTGTAAAGCAAAAACAATATTTGGTATATGAATCCCACACCAACTTGTCAGCAAAGCCGACAAGAGATTTGTTGGTTAGCAAAAACTTCCCGCGACGTACTGCACGATTTCCATCGAGTTGTTCATTTGTGAACGTAAATTTTCAGGGTCCGCTCTCAAACCGAATCTTCACGACAAAATGCAGACATGCAGATGATACGAGGCTTTGTTGTCGCTGTCATGCTGCCAAAATTAGCGTGCAGCTGGTGAACATGAGCGAGCATCTGGAAAACAAATAAGGAGATGTTTCCTCAAGGGATCGCTTGGGCCTCCAAAATAAACGCCACCGCATACTGAGGAGTACGTTAACAGCTAGATACTGTTGATATTGACGCATGCTTTTTATGTCGATGTGGTGATAAAGTGTCTCATTTGCATTGAAAGTAAAAGAAAGCAGAGTTGAAAATGCCAAGAAACAAGTCCCGAGCCACAACTTTCCAATGTCGGGACAACACCACCCCCCCCCCCCCATGTCGAAAAGATGTCTATTTATAGACATCTTTTCTTTTTACTATTTTTATGAACAATTAGAATAAAATATTTTGTAATGATTAAAAAAACATTTATGTATTAATTTTGAAAATGTAGTTGGAAAAAAAGTTGAAAAAAGACAATTTTAATGGTAACTAGTATTTTATTAGTATTATCAAAAAAATATTATTATTGTCATTATAATTACTATATGGAGTGTTATTATTACTATTCCTAGCATCATAATGATGATGATGGTAATTGTTTGAGAATACTTTAAAAACGTTGTGACCAAATTTTTAAATGGAAAAAAAAGTTAAATATTCATACTAACACATACATTATAATTGAGGTTAAAAAAAAAAAAATGGGCGCACAATGGTTAAAACTGGTTGTGACATTTTTTTTTTTTTTTTTTATGAACGCTGTCCACAATCAAAATGCGTGTATATCTCTTTAAGAAAAAAAAAAATCATTTGTGTTTACATTCTACTGGCTGCTCATAAAGACCATGAGGTGATGTTCCTGTCCTAAAAAGGCAGTGGAGAGACACACACACACACACACACACACACACACACACACACACACACACAGTGGCCTTGAAATGATGGCTCCAGTTGTTCCTGATGTCTTTTCCTAAAAATAGCAGGCAGGCGCTGGGGATGGATTAGTAGATCGAATCGCGTCTAAATTGTTGTTATGCTTCTGCTCTTGTGTCACTTTTCACATGTTGTACATGCTGCGAGTGTGTGGTTCAACTTCCGTGATTCGTGTCGAGTATTTGTTTTAGCAACGTGAGATTTTTGTCTCGCCACTTCCGAAAAGTATCCGCTCATCTTGTCTTTTGGAGCCTTCCACGCTACCGTGTTGTTGGACATTATCAGATTGTGTGGTGATGTTCTATAAACGTAGACGGAAATGCGCCGTCCGTTTGGGGAAAATGAACATATTTTACCGAAATCCCCAATGGCCAAATGGTCATATTTTGATAACCCACACACCGCATGTGCTTACAAATTTTTAAAAAAGTCTACACACCCCGGTTCAAATGCCAGGTTTTTGTGGTACTCCAAAAAAAGAGACTAAGATAAAACATGACAAAACTTGCCAGCGTTAATGTGACCAAGAACCCGTGCAACTCATTTGAAAGAATAAAGGTGGTTGCACAAGTGTACACACTTTCTTATAAGGGGGATGTAGCTGCGCTCAGAATGAACTAATCAAATTCAAACTTTATTAGAGAAGAATCAGCCATTTAAAGTGCCTGTTTAAGCCTGAATAGAGTTCAGCTGTATTAGTACCGTGAGTTTTGATTTCCTCGTAAAATATTTTTTCTTTTCAATTGAGTTGCTTGCTTACTTTCATGGCAGAATGTGTGGGTGAGGGAGGATCATTTTTCTTGGTTTCATCTTCTTGAATCATCAAAACGTGGAATTTGAATTAGGGGTGTGTAGACTTTTATATCCACCCCACTGGTATGTGTGTGTGTGTGTGTGTGTGTGTGTGTGTGTGTGTGTGTGAGAGTGTAACGTAAGCTGCTATTTGTATCTAAGCCTACAGCAAACACAGTGGCACAGGTGCAAAGTCGCATTTTTTTTTGTAAGCCCCCCCATCCTCCCTTGCCACCTCCATTCACTTCCAAAGGAACTTTTTAGATTCTAGAAAAGAGCAAAGAATCAAATTCCAAACTCACCCTGGAGATGGTCAGTGGCTGGTTGAAGTCCTTGCCGCCCACCAGACGGAAGCCCCAGGGGGCTGGCCCGTTCAGGACCACCTTGAACGGCATGGCCCCTTTCAACGGCGATGTCCCGACACACTGAGGGGAGTCTGAGAGTGCTATGATATCGAAGAGCAAGGGAGGGGCCAGCTTGGAGGGGTGGGGGGGAGGGGGTCATGACATGGTCCCACCCCCAAATAGGAAGTCCATTGGGCAGTTATTTGGCTGCGATGTACTTGCAGTACTTGTTCTACTTAACTGCTGTGAGGATGGGTGAACACACACACACACACACACACACACACACACACACACACACACACACACACACACACACTAGAAATCATCCCCAAACAGTTTACAGTCTGGTGCCCCCCGCCCTCCCTCTTCACTCCTCTCCTTTTTTGGTCTGCCCACTTTTGCTCAGAGGTCCTGCAGGAACATTGTGGACTAGCTAGAACGTCCCCTCCTCACCACCTTGGAGAGCCGCCCAGCATCCTTCCACCCAATCCTTCTACAAAGTCGCCTCACGGGATATTTTCTTAATGTTGTTGGATTTCTACTTTGTGTTTTGGTTCATATGGGATCCAAAACAGCTTAACTTGGTGACAAAATTTAGTGTTGTCATGGCACCTTGAGACACAAGTGACCCAACGTGTGACTTGTTCGAGCCATGGTTCGGTAGCTAATGCTAAATAGCATGAATGCTGCAATGCTAATCCTTTAAGGCACAGGTGTCAAAGTCAAGGCCCGGGGCCAGATTTGGCCCCACCACATAATGATGCAGTGGTCTGTGGCCCGCGAAAGCAAATCAAGCATGTCAAGTTCCACGATGCTTGCTAAAATCTGAACCAAAATTTCAAATTGGCATAGGTAATCCACAATAACAGTCATTAATCTTGACTTCTGGTTTTAAAACTAGTTCTTCATCCATTTGTTGTGCGTTGTGTATGTCATATGTGGAGGGGATTAAACATTTTTAAGGTTTCCCACAATTCATCAAGGCCCTCCGAGGGAAACCGTGAGGACAATGTGGCCCGCGACCAAAATGAGTTTGACACCCCTGCTTTAAAGTATGGACCGAACACAGCAATACATGAAGACAGACAATACAATAAAACTCAAGTCGTACGTATTTTTCTCCTTTTTCCTTTGCAGTGAACGACTAATATTGAACCACAATGTTTTTTTTCTTTTCTTTTTATGTTAACTCATAGTGTTAAAACGAGAAAAATGACAATTCAAAAAGCAAATCTGACATTTCACAAAGAACAATAAATGGAATAAGATCATAAATCTAAGCGTTTATTAATAATAATAATAATTATAATAATAATACAGCCCCGTAAAATGCAAAGTAGAAATACTTGACACTTGTGTGTGCATGTGTGATTTGTTTACAATAAGCTGTTTTCACTCCATTTTTTTTTGCATTTGACATGTTACATGGCTATCAAGCGAGTTTGTTGTTTTTAAGGCGGTGTTCAGTCACAAAAAAGAATTGTGGTCAAAACACACCCACTAGATGGCGCTGTTGATAGAAAAGAACGATGGCTAAAGAAGAAATATGAATAAAGCCAAGAGTGTGTTTTTAATAAAGCAGGTGAATGCTGATAACAGAAAATGATTGGAAAAAAATACAAACAGAAATGTGAGCAACACAATGTGAATTTATGATAAAAATTATATATCTTAAGGTGCTTCAACGAAAGTCAGTGTCCAAAAAAAAAAAAAATCCTTTGTGCAACATCTCAGCTAAAATGTGGTTTTAAATATATGACGACCGCCCCTTGGTGGAAAACCTGCCAATTTATGTACTCTCTATAACTGAATTTGACAGCCTACAATCCATGGTAGCTTGTCTTAATTAGCACACGACTGTATAGTTGACAAATAACAGGCAACTAAATTTTGAGTTAAAACACAATTCTGAAACACATTTTTTTTGTATTTAAAAAAAAAACTAACAGTTCAGACATACACTGACAGAAGATGTCTTTTACTGGAAATAGTTACACAAGTAATAATAATAATAATAAAAACAAAAATGCTTATCACACGATTGTATATCGCCACTGTGCAATTTAAATGTACTTTCGCCAATTTTTTGTATGAAAAAAGAAAGAAAAAGAACTTCTTTCTGTTACTGATTTTTTTTTAAAAATCTGGAAAATCCCCAAATTTTGTCACAAAAACCCAAACAAACCCTAAAACCTTTGCAATTTTCAGTTCTTAAAAATGTGTTTCGTATGAAGATTAAAAAAAAAAAAAATCTTTGTCACTGTAAGACCAAAAAAAAAACATTATTTCAAAATGTAATTCACACTTTCTCGTTGAATTTTCCCTTGAAAATTTGCAATTAGAATGTAAGAAAAAAAATATTAGGGGTGGAATGGTTCACTAAATCCATGGTTCGGTTCGGCTCTCACTTTTGTGCTCACGGTTTTGGATTCGGTATGCGTGACTTAAAAAACAAAATCTTCAAGTTAAACATGAAAGTGTATATTCTGAGCCTTATTTTTAAGTACTACAATATTATTTAAATGTTTCTTGTTTTTTTTATCTACGCCAGTGGCATATGGTGGCAGGCTTCTTCTCTTCACTTGGATGTCAAAACGTACAAGCAACTTGCTGAACTGATCGGTTTTGTTGATTTTCCAAATGCTCTGGGATGCCTCCTGATTTATCTTGGTTTGGTTGTGTTATTGAATAATCATAAATAAAGCAAAAAAAAAAAAGATACTACAGTCATCCCCTATTGTTGGAGCGCTAATAAATACAAACTTTGAAAAAGTGGCAAGCCCTCCGATACTGACACTTTTCTGAGGTGAACTCTGACATGAAACAAACAAACACAAATTGGTTAAAGTGCATCAACGCTAGCGGTGAAGGTGAACGGGTGAGATTTGCGCATGTAATATAGCACATGATTCATTGTTGAATGTCTTTGGGGTATGAAACCGACAACCCAAAAAAAAAAAAAAAAATTGTGATGCAGCACACCAACACAGAATAATTTTTTTTCCTCATCGTTGTCATTTTGCGGCTTGTCCGTGACCATAAAAACAGGAGTAAAAAGAGTTAAAAACAACAACAACAAAAAATTGGTACTAACGAGGTCTTCTGTTGAAGATGGCCAGTGAGAGCTGCGCCGCCATCCACAAACGCACACAGACACACACTTGTGTGCGGAGGCGGGCGGGGCGAGGAATCATTCACGCTAGCTGCTTCACGTAGTTTCCTGGGAAGGTTCCAAACAACTTGCTTCGCCGAGACGTCCCTTCATATACAACAGACAACAATAAAATGTGACGGGCATACGTGAACAGTAGATCTTTCGTCAAAAAAAGGTCGGGCTGAGATGATTTGATTCATCGACGGAATAATCCGAAGAATAAGTGATTGTAAAAATATATGATCCTGACAGCCTTGAATTTGTGCAAGTGTGTTATTTAGGCTATTATGCTCGTAGATTGTTGTGGTTTGTTTACATATAGTTTTAATGATAATAATAAATCGTCTTGTTTGTCTTTGCTTACCAACAAACCATCCGTCATCACACCTCTCCATCACGTCAACAATGTCGCCCTCCCTCAGCTCCAGCTCGTCTTCGTTGCGCGGCGCGTAGTTGTACACGGCCTGGAAGCTACACGACAAACAATCAATCGTTCACAACCCTCTTGGGTCAGCACTTAATTGGTTTACTCGCGTCCAAATTACACAACAGAAACTTGCAGTGTGAACATGACTTACGGGTCTCCCCCGCCGTGGAGAGCTTCCTGGACTAGTCGCTGAAAAAGAAAGAAAATGGGTTAGAAATCTGGGTTTCAGGAATATTTTGAGAGAGAGAGAGAGAGAGAGAGAGAGAGAGAGAGAGAGAGAGAGAGAGAGAGAGAGAGAGAGAGAAACATGAAAACAGAACATAAGATAGCACGGCATCTGTAAAGCTGATGCATACAGAGGACTGAAGCAAAAAATATATATTTCTATATTACATTGACTCAAACAATGAGGGACGCACCAAAAATATATTTTGGAAATGTTTTTTATATTTATGTGAATTTTAATGTGTGAAGCAAATTTTTAAATAGAAAAATGTGTCCACCCAATGGAAATGCATATATATATTTTTTAATTTGTGGCAAAACTGATTACAAAAATAAAATCATCGACAATATGACGACATTGCCCACAAAAATGGGGATTAAAAATATTGATAATTAATAAAAAAAAAAAAAAAAATTAGTCAAAATAAAAATGAAGAATATTTTTGAATTTAACATATATATTTGTTTTACTATAACGGAGTAATAATTCACAGAGCACTGTAAATACTGTAACTGTGGGAAATTACCCCAAAAATGATATTATCTACCTATAATATATTTCATTATGTTTGATATTTTTTAGACTTCATGTACAGCACTTTGTGTGCAGCTGTGAGTGTTTGTAAAGTGCCGTACAACAAACGTTGAGTTGAATTGCAAAGAGATTGAGTCTAAAAAAATATTTTCTCCACATAAACATTTTTTATATTAACAACAAAGAACATCATGACATTTTATTAGAATGCAATCCTATTCTTGGGCATGTATGGAGAAAGAATGACATATCATGAGGAGGCAAAGAATTTCTCAGCAACAAGCATCTGCTTGAGGGAAATAATTCTTCTGTTTAGTACAATTAATTGAACATAGGCGTTCGTGAAGCGACCTGAGATCCCTTCATGAAACGCAACCTTACGCGACAGTTCCAGTCAGCAGAGTTCCCCAAGAGACAAAAGACGAGTCGCCCTACCCTTCGACCTCTAGCGGGCCTCCGAGACAAGACGGGGCTACGAGGCGGTTTTCCACCCACGACTGGATCCTGCTCGGCGGGCATACAAAGAAGGCAAAATGTCTGTCTCGGCTTCCATAGCAACCAACGCCAAGCTACTCGCTGTCATGGCGAGAACATTTAAAGCCAAACGCTAACATGCCAAAGGCCGCCAATCACCAAAAACATCCCGATGCAACCACCGTCAGCACAAACTTATGATCTACTAATTACACAGCCGTTTGTGTTAGTGGACAAAATGCGTTAGTGTGCACGTCACACTCTGTATGAATTCACACTGTCAATAGGATGACATGGTATGGCCACGCGTCGCGGTGGACTTCATAACCACAAAACATGCTGCCTGCAGGGTCCACGTGGCATCTGTATACAGCAGCTGAGGTTTACGGTGGCGAGTTGAAAGAAAAAAAAGTGTGAGCAAAAATAAGTGTCGAATTAAATATGAGAAAAATGCTTTTGTACAAGCGGAGACCAAACCCCCAAGTAAACACAATTAATGATCAAGTAAACCATATTATTTTATACCTTCTGCATAATCAACACTATCACTGCGAACTCAGATCAAGACATATTTTTAAAATAAAAACATAAATGACATCTTTTGATATTAGAAAAACCGATTTGCACAAATGCAAGGTAAATCCTCTTACTAGCCACTCTATGAGGTCCACTGCCGCTTGCTACAAACTGATAAATCCATTCCTCATTCCCAAACGAGCAACAGCAACTGTTAGAATTCATTCGCAGCAACACCCTGACTCCGCTTTACCTTCAACTTGGGGGACCTACGGCCCGGGTGGGGAATCGCGGGAGGGGAGTGGCGGGAAGTGAGGAGCGGTGGGGAGGTGGACGAGGGTGATGTGGTGGAGTGGGGGGGAGTCAGGGGCTCCGGCGAGTGGAGGGGGGACGCGGAGGAAGAGGGCGAGACGGGAGGCGACGTGGAGAAGATGGGCAGGGGCGGGGGGCGGGACGGGGGAGAGTTCAAGGGTCGCAGCGAGGAGGGTGACGGCGGGCCGGGGGGAGGAGAGGGTGAGTGAGCGGGGGGACAGACGTCAGCCTAGTGGGGTCGGGGGGGCAATGACACACAACACTGAGTGCACAACTTCAATCGAATTGAAATATGAATGGCGAAAGAGACATGGAGGAAAATATTTTGATTAAAAAAAAACGTGTCTTTTATTCCTCATTGCAATGATTTTCATTTGTCAGCATAAATTTGGATTGGATGAAAAAATTCTTCCTATTGTTTGTATATTCAGTGATTTTATTATTTGTATGTTTAGATTTGTTTAATGGTGAAATTATTTCAAATTTAAAAACACATTGAGGATTCAAATAAATATGAATATTTTGTATTATTGTTCATTTATATACATATATAATGTATATATAAAGATTCAAGACAAGAAATTATTTAATTTAAATTTAAGACCAACACCTTCATTTAGTGTTTATGAACAAGGTACGGTACATGCCGGAAGTTATAGTGTGACGCCACAATTTGCATCTACTTTTGTCATAAAATTGAAATGTGAAACATGAAAACTATTTTCCTCCATGTCTTATCCAAGCTTCTGAAGCTTTCTAATTCTTCCAGCGTGTTTCCACCGAGCAGGACAGTTCATTCCGGTTTAAAACTCACCAATCAAGCCTTCGTAGAGTAAAGCTACAAAACAAAGAGAATAAAGTGACGCGGTGATAATTTTAAAAGCGTACCTTGAAACTGTACTGCTTGGTGGAAACTGCGGTGTTTAAATGAAAGGTCACAAATGCTCTACCTGTGTACTGAGTTTCCCTGTCAAAACCTCTTCCTCCTCCTCCTCCTCCTCTCTAGCCTCCTCATCTTCTTCCTGAATGAATAACTCAATAAACGACTTTCCTCTTTTTGATGGAGGCCTCTGAGACTCAACCGGGGCTTCCTTTAGGACGTGAGCCGTCACACAGTCTCGTTCTGCTGATTTTATTGCTCGGGGTTTTGCTGCCGGCTGAGCATCATGAAATTGGGGTTTTGCGGTGAAACACATTGGTGACTGATCTTGTTCATCCAGAATTACAGACAGCGGCTCATCGTAAGGGTCTGCGACACGGAGCTGACCGTCAAAGCGGCTAGGTGACGTCGACGACTCCCACATCGCTCTCTGCAACTCGCTCGACTTCGCGCCGCGCAAAGGGTCGCACGCCCTACGCCCGCGAGAAGGAGCCAGCGGACCTAAAACGCCGGAGAGATACTCGGGCGAGGCGGAGAGAGGCTTGTCAAGAAACTGCGCAAGGTGACCGGGAAGAGGGGGTGGCGTGGGGGTCGCGGGCGTGACCGAGAGGGAGCGAGGCGGAGGGGCATCCACGGTGAGGGAGAGCCACTCGTGGGTGACTGCCCGCAGGTTAGGCCTTGACAGCAGGGAAGATGGGTGGTCGCGGGAGGGGGTGGGGGATGGAGGCGGGAGAAGGGAGGAAGGCTTCATGATGGGGGAAGTGGAAGAGAGGGGAGAAAGTCAACAGAAAAGTACGCAGAGGTTCCACTGGACATGTGCCAACGCCGCTTCTCATCGATCCGAGTATTGTGGTGACATTTCCTTACCTTGATGGGCGTGGAGATGGGCGTCCTGTTGCCATGGTTTCCGTGGGGGTCCACATGGTGGAGGTGGTGGGCGGTTGTTTTGGAGGGCGAGCGCTTGAGCAGATCCACGTAGGCTACGGGAAAGATGCCCTGTTTGGTCGTGTCTGGGATCTTGCCCTCGTACCAGTTCTGGTCCACCTGCCGGATCACGATCACCCTTTCGCCCTGTAACACACACACACGCAAATTATACACTGTATATTGGAGTAACCTTATGTGTGATTGAACTAGCAACCCGTCCTAGGTGTGTGGAATTCTCTCGGCAAAAGTCAGCTCGCATACGGAACAGAGTACAATGAACAATAACCTAAATGAGAACAAGCGGGGTACGGAATGGATGGTATCGTATCGCATCAAAGTAACGAGGGAGTGCTATTGACTTGCAACCAGTCCATTGTGTACCCCGCTTTGGTTGCCAAAAGCCAGCTAGGACAGATTCCAACTCACCCGTGACGCTAATGAGAACAGACAGGTGTCGAAAATAGAAAGTATCGATGCATCGGATTCGTTTTATATGCGATTGAGTGGCATGAAGTCGAGGGTGTACTCAAGCCACCTTTCTGAGCGACAGCTCAACGTTTGTGTCGGCGTTGAAGTTGTAACGAGCCACGGCCTCGCCGATCTCCCTGACGTGGGCGGGTGGAGGCGGGCGGCTGGGCTGCGACTTCTCCGAAGACGTCATCTTCTAAAGACACAGAAGAAAGAGTGTGAATCCTGGATAATGCCACACGCACCGTCGGTGATTTTTGCTCGTCGCACGCCCACCTCCACGTAAGCGATCGGGAATATCCCAACCCGGCCTCGGTGCTCGCCTTCGTACCAGTTGCTGTCGATCTGCCTGATGATGTTGACCGCATCGCCTTTTTTGAACGTCAGCTCCCTGTAATGCAGTCGGGTTATTTCGAGCGTAATCGACTGGGATTTATTTGGTGTAGGCCATGCGGTGTATGAATAGCACAGGCACAGTCAAAGCCATTCGGGTGTGATGGTGTGATACGTAAAAACTACACGTAAAGTTTAATGGAGTGAACGGCCACGCGCTGACGTGTCGGGTTTACGAGTTCATGCTTCAAACTGTACTCACTTAGCCGTCTGCGCCTTAAAGTCGTAAATAGCTCGGGCAGGCTGCTTCTGATGGAGGAGAGAGAACAGAATAAGTTGGGTCATCTGTTTATGGGATACCTGGAGGGAATAAAAATGGGAGACAGAAGAAAAGCATCGAGTATTACCAGAAATAAAGACCGTAACAACGAAACCAATCATGCTAATGTTCACTGAGCTGCTTGTTGTCATTTGCGGGGTGCGATGAATGGGTCCTACCTCTCTGTCAGGTGTGGCTCTTCGACTCTGGGGTGTGTGCCGACCGTCCATGGTGGAATAACTCCTGGGCACATCCTGGTCTGCGATTGGCGAGAGACAAAACAGCACGCAAAGTTAGCGTAGTTAGCATAGCACTGCCAACAGGAACAACAATGGGCATGCTCGCAATACGGCAAATGATGTCATTCCAACAAGTACATAAAGGAATGAAACCTTGACATTAAAATGGACGTCTGGGGTTGCCAAAATATGACAGACACACATTTGAGCCAACAAAATTACTAAACAAAATAAAGAAAGAAACATGAAGGGCCAAGGGGAGACATTCAAAATGATTGGTGACATACCTGTACATTACAAACAGATGGGCATGAATTGTACTACTCCACTCAGGTAGGTTAATACAGTGAACCCCCAACCGAGCAGCACCATGAATAGCATGGTGAATTTACAGCGCAGACACTTGATTTCAGTATGTCAACAAAAAAAGCACAAGAATGTGACCAAGATGGTGAAGAGGACAAAGAGCAAATGATGTGACTGCGTCATCTCCACCTGAATAAAAAACACCATTTCCATTGGCATGCTCCTCCCCGTAATCATTACAGTTGGTGGCATCCAAGTGGCGTCCGTAACAGGCACTAACTGGCGACTGGAGCCGGGGAGATTGCAACCGTGACGTGGGTGGCTCGCCCTCGTACGAAGTGTACCCATCCGGGCCGGCCTCGTGCCAACACCTCCTCCTTCCGGGCAACGAAGAGCTTCTTTCAGGCACGCTGGGCAGCAGCTCGGAGAGTATTCTCCTCAGGATGCTGTCGTCGGGGGTCCTGGCGCCTCGGCGGCCCCGCTCGGCTTGGATGTGCTCGTAGATGTCCCTCAGGGCGGCGTCCAGCGCTTCGTAGATGGCCTGCTTGGATTTTGGCCTGCTTCCGCGACTGTGACCGCCGCCGCAGCTCTTTTTCTTGTGGAAAGGCACTGGACTGACCAGATAGGCCAGCTTGGACATGGACTGCTGGGACTCGGAGCTCTGGACCAGAGAGCGGCTGCTGCGACTTGACGGCTGAGGTCTCTGGGGGTCCTGGCGCGCTCGCTGTCGCTCGTGGCGGAGCATGGTGGTGAAGCGCGTGTAAGAGGCCGGGCAGCGACCCTTGCATGAACTAATGAGGTGTCTATGTTGGTAGCCCTGGCTCTGTCCAACACTCTGGTGACCGGGGTGGTGGTGGTGGTGATGGCGGAGGTGGTGGTGCAGCGTGGCGGAGCCGTACAAGCTCTCCGAGGACGTCAGCGAGCAGTGGTCAAAGTCGCTCTCGCTGCAAAACGAAGAGCCCTCCACCTGGATGAAGTCACTGAGGTCTGAGGCGATGGCGTCCTGCTCGCTGTCGGAGTAGTCAGCTTGCGGCACCCGCGGGACGGGAGGAGCCAAGTAGGAGGCCGCACGGTTGGGCTCTGGCCCCACACGAGGTTGACCCTCAGGCGGGCTGCGAGTTTTACGCGAGTGATCCGTGGCGGGAGTTGGCAGCCCATTGCCACTGTCGTCCTCCTCCAGGAGAGACTCGATAGAGAAGCGGCGTTTTGGAAAACTAGGGGTGCCACCGCCACTGCTCGCTCGGGACGAGCCGCCTGGCGTGGTCGCGCCCGACGCCACCTCGTTGTCTCCCAAGTTAGGCATGGATTTGGACTTTTCGATGAGACTCTCAAAAGCGGAGATGCGGTTGGGCACGTTGTTGCGCGGCACTTCTGAGCCGCCAGAGGGTGCCCAAGGGGAGAGCGGGTGCAGGTGCAGATGGGGCTGCTGCTCCAGCTCCAGGATGCGGGTGCGGACCGAACGGATCACCTCGGACGGGATCAGGTGGGCCCTGTCGATGTGGTGCATCTTCCGGTAAAGCTTGAGAAAGCCCGGTGAGTCATGTGGCAGCCGGCGGCGGAGGCGGGGTGCCGAGCCCATGGACCCGTTGGAGTCAGGTTGGCTGCACAGCAATGAGCCGGCGCTTTCCGAGCGAAAGGCGCGGCGTTGGCCCGGACGGTCGCCCAGCAAGTCGTCGCAGCTACGGGACCTGAGTTTGCTGCTGGACGGTGGAGGCGCTGGAGCCTCCTCGGAGGATGACGCCGGCGCCTCCTCCGTGCAACAGGTAGCAACGGGGGGCAGGGATGAATGCTGGCAAGGACCCGGAGAGGTCAAAGTGTTTGAATACATGACGCATGCGGCCCCACCTTTTGTTTTGTTTTGTTTGTTTTTGTAAAAGACGTCCCACAAGAGAGCAGCGTGGTGGGAGAGAAGAAGAAGCAGGAAAGCATGTTAAGCAGTCATAGCGACCAAGAAAGGAGGGAAAGAAATTGGAGGGAGAGAGGTAGGAAAAGCTTCCACAAATGAAACACACGAGAGGCAAACTGGGAATCTTTCCAAGTGTGTACCTTTGGTGCGTGAGGGCGAGGACGGCGAGGAGCGAACGATGGACTTCTTGAGAGTGCCGCCGGCGGAGCTGCTGGCGTCGGGCGCTTTGGGTGACGTTGCCGCTCGGCCAGAGTAGAACTGAGCGTTTGCCTGGGAGCCAGCAGGCTCAGACTTCCTTCTCTTTCTGTAGTCGTTGGCAGCGCTACAACATGGCGGTCAGTCATGACAACGATGTCCTTTATGCATAAATGCAATATGAATGCATTGAAAGTATCGGGACACACTGCGCATGCAAGATGGGAACTGAAAACGGATGTGCCTTCACAGCCCCCGTTTTCATGGCTAATCGCAAAGTCGCGAATTGAATGATGTGTTCAATGAGGGAGCATCCTGAGGAGATGTTTCAGGCAAAAAAAAAGTTTCCACAAATCAATACTACTGGTAAGACCCCACATGTCAGCGCTATTTTTTTTTTTTTTTTACATATTATTGAGATTCAAAAGTGTCAAAAATGGCTTGCTTTGTATGATGATAAAATTGTTCGACAAACGCGCTATTTTTTCAGGTTTCCTGAAAAGTGATGGTGATCCGAGGAATGTGCCAAACACTAGTGTATATTCTTAATATTTTCCCATTAGAATCCTGGTTCTATGCAACTGCAAAAAAAAAAAAAACCAAAAAACTGAGCCTAGTCTTGATGGACCAGCCTACAAAATTTGGTTAACTGACTCAGTGGGCAGAATTTTTTTTCATTTCACAGTACGGCATTGACTTCTTTTTGTGCTCCTTTAAAAAGCCGCATGTGAGCTTTCCATTGAGAACGACTCAACCGAGTCATCACATCCTATTTTTGCTCACTTGGGAGTTAATAATCAGGGCGAAGGGAAAGGGAGAGGGACAAGGGAAGGATGGAGCAAGGAGGAGGGGTAAGGATAAGTGGTGAAGGGCAGACTCAATATGCTTATTTTGGTTCAGATGGCGAGGAAGATATAAAACTCGTTATCTTGACTTGTGCGAGCAAATAAAGGCTGACATGAACACCGAAATGTCAGCAAAAGGGGGGCAATACCAAGGACAAGAGCACAGCACTCAAACCGCCCATGGAGCAGTGATGTTGACAAGATGGGGGAGGGGCAAAATAGAGGGGGCGGGGAACAAGAAAAAAAAACAAAAAACAAAAGGGGGTTTACCTTGCGGGTCTTTCGGGGGGCTTGTCCGCAGGAGCGACCTGCAGGGTTGCCTGTAAGACAGAAGAAGAAAACAGAAAAAAAGGAGAAAATGAGCCGGGCTGAGTAGGGGGGGAAACAAAAGGTGGAGCGACTCCTGATCACACTGTAGCCCGCACGCGCCTTCAAGTGTGTCACATTAAAATGGCTCCCCCCCGGCCCCCTTGGCATAAGGGAGATGATGGTTCCACGTGGTGCACCTTAGCAAAAACAAAGCGCGGTTTGCGCCCTGTTGGGCTGCTCTGTAAAATGAAGGTGAATTAGCAAAGGAGCGCAGGGTGGTTGTGGGTAAGGAGGATTGGGAGGTGGAGGGGGGGTTCAAATGTTACCTCATAAACATGGATTGGAACTGGAACGGACCTAAATAAGGAAGCATCATTCAACACTGGAACAATCTGTAAACAAAGACAACTTGTGTTGTTTTGTTTTTTTTTAAGGTAATGCTGCATATAGAGTGCAAACATGACGCGCAGATTTATCTTATTTATTTTTTTCCCCATAAAACAATTGTCACTATTACTGCCTGTGTATCCAGAGTTTCCAATTCATGCGCGCACCATTTCATTTAATTTTGTAGTAGGCTCTTAGAACACTGATGACTAATGTTGCTGCTCTTCACATTCATTTCTGTAGTTTTTTTTTTTGTTCAGTAGAGATTACTGCAACACTACACTTGTCACATCCATCATTTACCTCGATGCGCTGGCGAGCCGAGACGTCTGGATTATAATCCAGTCGTTTTTTAGGAGGCTTGAGCGGCAGAGATGAGCGTGGGAGGCAGGAGGAGAAGCAGGTGGAGGAGGAGGAGGAAGAGGAGGAGGAAGGTGAAGATGAGGTGAAGGAGGACAAGCAGCAGTGGCATCATGGGGCACGGTAGAAAAGAAGGGGGAAAAAAACGTGGAGAAAAGTGGACACCTATTAGAGAATATTTATGCATGAATTAATCTCTAAATCCCAGACGCACATGGACACCGAATGGTCACTTCCTTAGGTTCGCGCAAGCAACCTGATCCAAACCTAAATCTAATATCGCAGCTGTATGAAAAATGATGCGTTTCTCAAAGATAATTCTCATTTTTGATTGAAAGTCCAAATTTAATGTCACTAAATAGGGCGACCAAATTGTGAGAATATGGCTCTCAGACTTGTAGTACAACCACAATAATAAGCACATTCTTATGAATGTGCACCTTTTCATTCTTCTCTGATTGGCTGAAAGGAATCACACAGTTCACTCGACCAAGGGTTCCTTGTCTTAAAAATTGGAAATATTACTACCTCTGTAAAACGAGCTCTTGTATTGGATGCAACTAATGAGGTGACCAGTGAGTGCATATAAACACACACGCACACAACACACAAACGTGTTCATGCGGTGTGAGTGATGTAAGCAAAAGGAAAAAAAGGCTCGAGTCAAAACAATGCAGTGTATTAAGGTGGTACTACAGCTTTCCTCCATCAGGGGGCACTAAAGCCAGGAACGAATACTAGACAAAAAATATGAATTAAGTGGACACAATTGCTTATCATTGCTTGTCTGTGCTTCTGTGTACGCTGGAACCTCTATTTTGTATCGTACTTTTCACACGGAACAGCGATACAAGGAAAAAGAAAAAAGCTGGCAATGTGAAAGGGGCTACTGACTCTTGAACAGATTCTTTGTATTTATTTTGTCAGTCTCGTGCAGATCATACCAGAGATCTGTTTTGGCTTTCCGCTATACCTACTCCGAAGTCGTCATCGCACCATACCTTCTCCATACCTAGCGCGCAACTCCCAGAGAAACGCCAGTATTGACGAGCAGTGCGAATGAGGCTTGTGATTCTGGAACAGACTTTTTCAATTTCAATTATTTGTTATGTGAATCGTTTTGTTGTCGTTCGACTTCACACTTTTGCACTAGCTTTCCACTATTCCTTTTCACACAGTTGCTGTGCTGCCCCTGACGCCAGGTAAAAAAATATTGCTGGGATGTCTCATCGTCCAGATTTCATCTCAGTCCCTTTGACACAAACGATCGGCAGTGCAAAAGGGACTGCTGACTCTCGAGTGGAATATTTCGACCCATCGTGGTAATTTGTTTTGTTTAACTGCACACCCCTTTTCTGAAATTTCCGCTATTCTTTTTCAAAACGTCGCTGTTCTGCCTGATACTAACTCACAAGCTGGGAAATTGACAGATTGGCTTCCATCGCCCCTCCAATGTCGGTACCCTTCACGTCAAATGACAGAGGAAAGCCCGCTTCGAGACAGGGCGAAAGGGGCAACAGGCACTGGTACGAGTCATGCTCAGCCTTTGAAGTTCCACTGTATATTTTTTTCGACCTAAGAGTCCTATAATTTAGGTCATAGAGTAACAGCTTTTGTGGTGGGTGGTAATGATGACACGTAATCATCCGGTAATTAAAAAAATGACAGGATTGAGTCTCAATACATCAATACCCGCTTGCTAAAAACAAAACAAACAAAAAAAAAAAACAACAGAAAATTAAATCCAGAAAAGATGGTCTGCTAAACAGTTGGTGGGGGATAGAGGAGTCACAGCACCCAACAAACTACTACATCATGCCCACACAGCCAGCCCCACCCAGTCTACTAGTGCATAGACCTGCACACGCAGGAGCGCACGCACGCACACGCACACACACACTACATATACATCGTAACAAAACCACACGGGTGGTGTGGAGAAAAAGTGAGTGCAGAGGCCTAGACGGCAAGAGAGGTTTCACGAGTAGCTAGGCGGCCTACAGCTAACTTACCGGGCGGCCAAACTCCAGCTCAGAAAAGAACTTATACCAAGGCTCGTTCTCTAAATCTATGTCATCATAGGTCTGGAAAAAAAAAAACGTGACAGTGGGAAGAGAGACAAGAAAGTAGAAGAAAGGAAGTATGGATAGAAATCAAACATGGAGTGAGTGTATGATTAGAGTGGAACATGTAAAGTGAGGTGGACGCGGACGATTTGTCAAGGTTTGGAGTGTAACAGAAATAAAAAACTATTTCAAAGCGTGTTTATCAAGTACAATACATTTGATGGAGCTTGAAGCGCAAACAGTTTGGTGGTGAAACGACTAGAGATTTGAGCTAAAATTCCATTGACCGAGAAACTCAATCAGACACGGAATTCAACTTGAAATTCTGTGGACCTTCAAAAATGAACGGTTCTGTCGTCAAAAGACATGAAATTTAACCCAAAATTCTGTATGCTAACAGCTGGATACGGAAACGACTTGGAATAAGACTAAAAAGTCCAAGCACATTAGAATTTGAACAGTACGAAGGTGGTCAAAATATTAAAAACTCAAAGTCGACAAGAATCCCCCCCCAAATTTTTTCCAATGGATTGTTAACACAGTTGTCGCTTGGGACTCGATCACTTCAGTGTTCAAAAGACACAAGATTCACTGTAAAATTCAACGGACCTACAAATGTGATCAGTTTGGTGGTCAAAAGTGTCACAATTCCAATTAAAATCGTGAGGGCCTTGTAATGTGAACAATTTGATGGAATTGGAGCCCCCCAAAAATGCAGACCTTGGAACTCAAGATATATGTGGTCAAAAGACTCAAAATTGGACCCAAAATTCCATGGACCTATGAAAATCATGGGGGGGTAAAACACTGGAAATTTGACAAAAATTTTGCGGGCATTGGAACAAGAATATGTCACAACCGCAGAACTCAAATTGTCGTTAAAGGACCTCTCGAAATAATAAAAAGCACCCTAAAACAAATGTTTCAAACCAAAAATTTTCTGTGTGTTTTGGGGCGTGGGTTCTTGACATTTATTGTGGGTCGACTCATGATTGACATGCCAACCAAACTTCATGTTGCCAAATGAAAGTGGCTTTGAGCGCTGAAATTTCAAATATGATCATACTGTCGGCAGCTTTTCATCAGTTCAGTCTGGCCCGAGGAGACATTTTTCAATGGAAATTGGTCTGCATAATAGGACTTCTATGATTGCATTTTTTGGTATTGTTTTAATTCTATTCCTGCACAGATGCCAGCGTGTGTTTTTCATCTCATCCATCGCGCTTAACTGTGGTTTTGGGGGAACAATGAGTCAGCCTGAAAAGCGCAGCGGCTTGGTGATGGCTGCTGACAGCACTGTGCAATCAACACACACAAAGGCAACACAATGAGGAGTGTCATTTTGAAAAAAAAATAAAAAGATGTTTACTCAGCATTATAATTAAACGTTCTCAAGTAGGCCGAGTGTTTATTTCTGTCTATCGGGGTGACTGGCAAGTTATTCAGGAACCAGCATCAACCAAAAGGGGGCGCAAGTAATTCAAGCCTAACGACTTCACCTTTAATTGTGGACTGATTGATCAAACGATTCAATGTATTGTTCTTTAGTTCAAATGACAAATGGTGGTCGTCTTTTCTTCTGTCTGAAGTTACTGAGACAGAAAAATACAAAAATGTCACCAAAAAACAAAAACAAAAAACAAAACAAAAAAAAACCCACACAATTAATTGTGAACTGATTGGTTCCATTGAGAAAATTGTCTGGACAAAATTCTATGAATTTGTTTATATGATGGAAAATATTAAAAATATCTTTTAAAAATACTTACAGGTCTTTCGTGCTCTAAAATGGAGGACTTCCCTGGCTCATACTCGAAAATACTCCTGGGCTCGGCACGGTACTTTCGCGTGTCTACTTTCCTTTCGGGAGGACCCCATTCATTCCTACAGAGAAGAACCATTAGGCCCGAGAAACTCAACATTTAAGGCGAGAGGTGAATATTCTCTCACATATCTGGCGTGTGTCTGTCACGGTCGCTGTCTCTGGCCCTCAACTGCAGCAGGGAGGGTGCAGGTGGCGGTGGCGGAGGCGGTACGGGTGAGGGCGAAGGATCCCGGGCGGCGAGGCGCTGCCCGCTGTTGTCCGACAAGCTCTTGGAGAGCGGCCTGTACGTGTGCGTGCGTGGGGCTGGGTGGGCCAAGGTGGCGCCGGGTGGCACACCGTAGTCATCTGTTTAAGATGCAAAACATCACATTGGACTAAATGGCTTACTGTGACGATTAATTGGTCATAAAGTAAAGCCTAGCTCACCATTGTTGATGATAGCATATGTTGCACTGTAGGTATCTGAATAGTCATCATCTGAAAAGTAAAGTGCGTATTAGGCCATGTCGAAATAGGTAGATATGAATAGAAACGATCACTAGTGGCAGATTTTGGAATGAGCATTACGTGAGGACACTGCCGGGGGTCAGAAATGTTTCCCAAAATAAATTTATGTACAGCGCTCAACGTACAGCACTTTGTACACAGCGGCGGTTGTTTTAAAGTGCTCTATAAATACGGTTGAGTTGAGAAAAGAAGACACATTATTGATGCTACACTTCTCCAAAAAAAAAAAAAAGGTCACAAAAATCCCAAAGGCAAACATCTTATTTCAGAAGACACTGTTGTTCTTCGAACAAAACAAACTATTGACGTTACCCTTATCTTAAAAAAAAAAATTGATTTAACAAGGTCATATTGTACAAAATGCGCTTTGAAAGTTACATACAAATCCAAAAGTCCAAGAGTCACGCAAAAAGCTCTGCCTATATCACAAGGCACTGTTCACTTCCGCAAAAGACGAATTATTAACACTGGAATTTTCAAACGATTAAGGATGCTGAATTTTATTATCTCAAAATTTGACAGACGGCCCTTCGAGCCTTTGCTTTGCTTTTTCTTCACTTTATTTGTGCAGTGCTCTGCTCTGGCCCTGACATTCTCCTACTGGCCCCGCTATATTTAGATATTGTATGCCATCCAACACCCCCCCCCTGCCCCTCACACACACACACATACACACACACACACACACACACACACACACACACACACACACACACATTTTTCATGCCTTGATCAGCCAGCTGTGAAGCATTCAACTTCTCCCAAGTTTCCACTTTTCCAGATAAAATGGATTAAAAACGAGCCTTTGACTTATTGCTTTTGAGGTTAACAGCACCCCACCGAGGCATTTTGCTTGTCATTATTCATCAGAATGAAACATATTCACACGCACAATTATGCAATCGTTGCATCGGTATTTCTAGCCCGAGCAGTCAAGAACAAATAAGCCCTGTGCTGGACATTCGCAGTCAGAAGCTGGAAATTGGAGCACTTTTCCCAGGACGGATTGTTTCTTATTAGCAAGTCTTCACCACCAGCCTAATGAGTTCTGGCTCGGGGCGTGAGGGCAGAGGAGTGCTTTGGCGGGGTGGGGGAGGCGTCATTAACGAGAGACAATTCATCACACAATGAATGGGAGCTTCTTAGGGTCATGGTACAGTCAAGTTAACCTACCCGCTTTGTGGACCTTGTGGATCTGTTTGAACATGGTTTTGTACCAGTCCTTGGGCCGATCAACCGTCTATGTGGAGAGAGGACAAAAAAAAAAAAAAAAAATCAATATATTAGCATAGCAACCGTTAGCTTGCCAGCATTTCATCAAGTCATGTGTGTAAAAGTGTTTGACTACAGGGATGTTCTGTTGTAAGTTTCTATTTGGAACAATGTCAGCAGTTTTCATATGTCATGGTTTTTTACAATTATGTGGATAAATGCTTCCGAATCATTTTATGAATTGTCATTTATAGGCAGGGGTGCGCATAAGTGGTGCACTGGCGCGCAAGAGTGCTGGAAATTGAATAGTGCATCTTTCACCACACTTTGTGCACTAAGAATAGGTCAGACCAGCCAATTTGAAGTCAAGTCAGCTGCCGCAACGATTGCTTCCGAGAGACAACTTGAAAATAAAAGTTAAAGTAAGGCACGGATAAAGAGAGAAACCTGCTAAGCTTGCTAGCTGATCACACGGTTCCATACTGCAAGTCAGAGGTAGACAATTACTTTTTAGAACGGGCGTTCCAGGTAAATTGTGTTAAATAATAATATGAGGTCTTTTTATTACATTTTAAAAAATGTTTTTGTTTTAAAAAGCTGCCATTTTGTAGCACTGGCATGTTATGTTGTTGGGATTAGGAATTAAAAACTGAAAACTAGGCCGGAAAACAAAACAACAACATAAAAAGTTGTATTCAGTTCTATTAAAATAACATATATCCTCAATAAATATAAACCTTCCCAAGATGTGCGCTAAGTCTTTTAAGTGTGGGAGGTCATTTAGTAGGGAAAAAAAAATTAGCACTAAATTACAATCGGGTGCTCATTTGAGAACCGCGCCAGTTTTTATGTGCAGCCCTCTTCGCCAGAGCATTTCATGACTGGGCAAGATGTAAAACACTCAGTGCGTCCTGTATTGAAGTTGCTGCCATTTTATCAATTCACATGGACATCAATGGCAAGTAACGCATGTAAAGTTCTTTGTATGGACCACAAATAACCATCGGCTGCTCTGCCATATACATTCGCAAGGCGGACATTTGATAGAATGTGTAGTATGAGCGTGTTTCTACACAAGCTACACACCTACTAAAGAGCCACTCAAACTTAATGTTGCCTTTATTCACTAGCACTAAAACCCGTGTTTGGCCTCGCCTCAGTAAAAAAAAAAAGAAAAAAAAAAGAAGCAGAATAAGAGGCTCCACGGAAAGGGAGAGTGTTGGCCTGAGCATGCAAGCGCCGAGACTGGGGGGCCAATTACCACTTCACTCTCCACGGTTACCAAATAGAGAGGCCGCAAAAATGCTTGTGTGCTCACAATAGGACGCGTCTGCTTTTTCTCCAGGACTCCTCGCGTTTCTTTTCATCATTTTCTCAGCTTGTTATTCCTGTAACTCTTGTCCACAACAAGGCTTCTCACCAAGCCATAAGTGGACAGAGTGCTAATATGCGCTAATCCTCGACAGAAGTTGTCACAATTGGCAAACTACCGCCAAAATAATGCCATTAGCCATGATGACAGCGCAGCCTTGAAGTTAGGAGTGACTCGACTTGCGAGTTTGCCGAAATAGAAGACGTCGCTCAATTTTTGGCTTTTGACTTGCAAGAAAAAAAAAATGTATGAAGTTTACTGTCAAACCAAACCTAAAAGAAAGATAATCCAAATGATTTTGCTTTCGTTTTGACTTTTGGAGGCCTGTTTTCCAGAGATGTAACATTTTGATTGATGCAGATCTAAATCGTGTGAAATGCTCACTGTGCGGATGGCAATGGGAATGCCCGACTCGTCCACGGGTCCGATGCCTTCGTAGTGGGGGGCTTTGATGACAGACACCTTGGTTTCCTCCTCAGAGAAGCGGGCGATGGGCATGGTGCTACTAAAGCTGGCGTTGCCCGACACCACAGACTCTCTGGTGAACGTCTCGCTACCTTCTAAAACACAGAATAGAGACAATACATGAATCATTCTTCTGTGGGGTTTTTTTTTTTTTGTTTTTTTTTGTTTGTCACATTCTCCATCACTAAATGGCAGCCATGAACTTCACAACATCTGGCCACCATCAGTTCATTTTACAAAAAAAATTTTGGGGAGGGGGCTGTTCAATGAGCAAAGTTCATTTGAGATCCGATTGATCTGAGTTACAAGCATGGTCACAGAACGAAATTAACTTGTAAGTCAAGGTACAATTTGATTCAGGAAAATACTGTAAAAGGTATAATTGTAATTTCGAAGCATCTGACCTGAGCTCTGGCTCTGCCTCAGGAGTCCTGAGCAGAGCGAGGCGGGCGGCGGCGGGTAAGATGGCGGCGAAAGCGGCCTGGTGGCGTGCCCCGTCCCCCCGTTCATGGCGTGAGAGAGCACCTGGCCCTGTGAGGAGGTGGACCACAAAGTTAATCAATAAAAGTGGTCATTTGATGACTTGGGTGAGCTCTACGACGGAGGGAGGACTGATTCTGGGAGGACAGTCATAAAATGAAACAGGAATCGTCAACAGACAGACAGGTCTTCCATTAGTTTGGTTATAACGTCAAGGACGCACACAGTGGACATGATGGAAGGCTCCTCCGAAGGAAGCGCTTCCATCAGAGTGAGACGGCGACAGATTATTTCACGTTAAAATAGTATTTTAAAAAAATTATTACTCACTGATGACAACATTGCTAAATGAGGAGTCAAAACTACGGTACAGTTGTACTTCTGTTGGTGGGAATGAGCAAGAATAGGCACGAGAAGCCTCCAATTCTGTGTAAAACATGTCAGGTATGCTGACACTATTGAGGAATATACGGTAGGTGCTTATTTGGCAGTAAAAAAAAAGTGGTCTGCTTGCGCAATTAGACAGCAAGAAGAGCTGGCTGTGATTGTACGTGCGACTTTCATGCTGCTTTGTTTTCCTGGCTTATGAATTTTTGACACAAGCTCACAAAAGAACAGGCAGGCGTTAGAATTGGAGAGTTACACAGAAAAGGAACAGAGAGCAGAGCTTTGAGCGCCGAGGCGGTGCAATGACAGGGCGGTGGGCTGAAGTCTGGAATCAAGCAGGTCGTTTAGAACAGATAAAAGCGACACATGGCGGTGCGGCTATCTGAGTGAGTTGGCGGAGCGTTTCTGGGTAAATGCGGCGGTGACTTGCTGGGATCATAATTACGTTAGTGACAGTGGCTGTTGCGGCGGCAGTTAGCGCGTCGTCGGGGCCAGCAGCGGCAGCAGCAGCGGCAGTGAAGACCGAGACGTGGCTGAGGGTGGGCGACGGCGTGGGCGAGGCGCCGGGTGAGTCCAGGCTACAAATCTGCAGCTCGTCAAGCAGACCCGCCGTGGAGGAGGAGTAGTGGCTGAGAGCCGAAACTGTCACGGGGGAGGCGGGGGGCGACGCGGTGACGGTCGTGACATACGGGCTGGGTGACAGCCCCTTGGACATTAGGCCCGACAGGTAGTCGAGAGATTCGGAGCTGTGGCTCAGAAAGGGGGAGTGACGTGCTGTGGAGTCAAGGGAGATGGGGCCCTGGTGATGGGGGGGAAGGAAGAGAGCTTAGTGGCCTTGCTCATTAGACGCCCTGTCACAAAGCATGAGTGGAAGTAACACGGTGAAGCCTCATGACGCCGCAGCGGGTCTTCATTGATTAATGCTGTGGATGGAAAAGGCTTTGTTAGTCCAAGTGCAAATAGACTACATGGACACAAGGATCGGGACATGTCAAATAACGTCACCCACAGCCAATCTTGCTAGGTCAGCTTTGCTCTGGTACTCAACTGGACTGGTGCATCGTTGCACAATACACACAAGTTGAATAGAGCCGAACTCGCAATTAAGTTTTAGTCGTTCACATATTTGCTATTTCAAAGCCGTCGTCATGGTCGCTGCGGCTGGACTAAAACCAGAGATGTATTTCATCTTGGCGTCCACAGCCAACACCGACGGGGCACGTCCACTAGTTCTCTGTCACTCAACAGAGAAAACGTGCACTCGATATACGACACCACAACATCATCAGTAACTCGAGCAACAAAGGCATATGGAAACACTGGGCAGCAGAATTGTTCAAAGGAATATGCAATTTGATTGGTCGGGTGCATCACATTGGGGGGCTTTTCCGGGACATTTGACTTTTCTTTTCTCATTTTCCATGGCTGGAAAATTGCTCAATAATTTTCCAAGTTTTCCAGGAGGTGCGGGAACCCTCTCAGTGTGCGTAAGTTAGTCCACAAAAATGTTACTTCCGTGTTGAGGGGTTGAAAATCTATAGTTAAGTGTTTGTAAGAGTTTGCAAGGTCGCATTTTGTACATGGCTGCAAGTTCGGCATTTTCGTGAAGTCGATGCTACTTTAGCAGCGCGTAATGAGCCTCAGTATACCACATTTGGTGGGAATGTGGCTCTCGCAAAGGTACACTCCAGTGTAATTCATAATTGCAGTCGGCATGTCGTGTTCTGCGCTGTGACTTCTGTTTAATTTTTGGCTTGCTGCCCAGTTTCACTTGGCTAGCTTTTTAGACCCCGTTAATACAGCCCCCTTGCATTTCAATGGATATTGAAAATGATTACTCTTTCTATATGTTAACCATTAGCATTGCCGCCCAATGCGCAGTGTCCATGTAATGTACTTCCCACTGACTTTCACACGTCTGTGATGCATAACAGTGGGTCAGATGAGCTGCTCACGCATTGAAAAAGAACCAGAGTTAGTCGACTTCTATGGTAACACCAAGTTGAAAAAAAAAAAAACAAAGAGCAACACACAAGTGATCACAGAGATATCGCACAAAATGATCCCCCTTGGGCCTTTTCACACAGAACCCACCAAAGGTTGGAGATTGTCCACTAAACAAGTCAAAGTGTGTGTTGCTCTTTCTTTCCACCTTTATGCCACCAAGGCGATGTCGTTTTAGTGATCTTATATTGAATTTGTGCTGTTTCTTGTACCAACAGCTCGGCAGGAGACGGTCTCGGTGGAACTGCCGGAGGAGACTTCAGGTCTTCAGATGGAGCCAAATCTGCTGGTTGAGTCAGGATCGTCGCGGGTTTGTTTGAAGGCTCTGCATCGTGTTTCTGGCTTTTCGGGAACAATTTGACAGCGAGCGAGGAGGTCCTCGTGGAGGGCTGAGGAGGGGTGGTCGGGTGCTGTGTGGGAGGAGGGGGCGGGTCGCTAGCTGTGGACTCAACGTTAAGGTGTTCGGGCGGGTCTGGGATGGTGACGGGAGTGAGTGTCAGGCTGGAGACCTTACGTTCTTGGACTTGTGTATTAGCCGAAGCATCATTTGGGACACTAGACACAAGTTGGAGTGAGTTAGCGCTGGTTTCCCTGTGCAAGGAAGTGCTACTAAAAGTGTAGGACTCTTTTAAAGACGCTTCGTCTTGGTGGGAGAACATTAGCTTCGTTCCAGGGTTGATGTTGTCAGCTAAAACAGTGAGTGGGCTGCAGGCTGATGGGTTAGCGCTGGTTAGGGTGAAACGGAAACTATCTCTTCGTGAAGGGGGCAGGGGTATGTGACTGTCATCCTTACGAACCAAATCGAAGTATCGAAAAAAATAAAATAAAATCAGAATGATTATAGTCACATTCCTGGATAGACAAAAACGCAAACCTCAAAAGGCAAAATGTGCTTTGAGACATTTTACCTGCGACTTTCTGTCCTGCAGGTTGGGCCTGACGCTGCGAAAGCCTTTGGCGGCCAGAGACGAGCTGATGGCGTCGCCGTTCTTAAGGCCATCGGTTGCGCTGCGAGACCGCCAGGAACCTGAAGGTCAGGTCAGTTTCGCGAGCGTCAGTCGGCAAGCACAAGATCAAAAGTCAGCAAGGAACAGACGGCGAATGAAACGCAACAGACAGACTTACTGTAGTCTGATGAGTGAGGATCACTCCCTGGGGAACAGAGAGACAAGAAGTCAAGAAAACCAAAGTTTCTATCTGGTAGAATTGCAGAACTCGTCATCGGATGGTAACAGCAATAGCCTAATGTCCACCAAGTACATTAGCAGACGTCAGTCTTTGTAATCATCAATTGAATTGCCAATTAAACCAAAAGACTCACTCACATCAAACATTTATTGCTTTCCAAAGTTACGATACAACAAACTAAGCCATCCATCCATCGGTTTTCTATCGCGCTGTCCCTTATTCGAGGCGGGGGCAGTTTGGCGGATGAAGAGCTTCGAACTCATTACTGACACTCTCAGATGACTGTCAAACTAAACATAAAACTAAGAGAATTGGCATCGCCTCAGTTAACCTTGTTGTTCACATACAATACGATGAGTTACGAGCGTGGCCAAGGAACAAAGAACTTGTACCCCAAGGGACCAGTATATTCACTTTAGTGACAATGTTAAAAGCATTTTTGCATGGAATTCCAAAAAAATCTATTTAAAAGGGCGTGTTACACTTGAGAGGTTCCACAGTATTGGGAACAATGAGTCCAGAGTCCAACATTGCACCACAACAAATCCAACACAGCTTAGGTGACCGTGAACAAAGTGCGCTGAAACAGCTTTTGTTGCAACGCGGGCCTTTTGTCATAACTAAATCCCTATTGTTGATTATGGCTAGTTGGATGCCTGCAGGTGCATGGACCCTCAAAACTGTTCCACAAAACATTCTTTTTATTCATGTCCTCATATACCATGCCTCCTGTAAATATCATATTTCCTCAATTAGAGGCAAATTAAAGCATGGAGTGTTAAAAATGATACATTTTGGGAAAAAGTAATCTTTCACATCAATCGGCATTCCAGTCCTGACATGTGGTTTCTCTACACGTCCATGTTTATGTCCAAGGAAGCGAAATTACTGAAGTATTTTTTTTCCGAAACAATTCTTTGGAAGATCCTGTTTAACTGTAATATACCATAACATTGTTTATCAGTGTTACTATTATTATTATTTTTAGGAATGCACAACTCTGCTGTTCCTCATTTTAATTTGAACTGTATTTTTTTTTTTTTAATTAAAAATATAGCCCGAGAACGGGCAGCATCATGGACGAGTGGTTAGCAGGTTAACTTTACAGGTTGGGATCATAGTCTGTGTGGTCCGATGTGACATTTGCATATTTTCCCCATGTTGGCTGAGTACTCTGGCCACTTCCCAGATTATAAAAAAACTTGTATTATATTCACTAAAGAATTGAAAGACTTTTTTTTGTCCACCTAAAGTCATCTGGGATAGGCTCAAAACGCAAAATAGGAGGAAATCGCAAGGGGCTGAAGGAGAACATGACATATGCGAGCTGTCGAGAGTTTAATGACCATTGTGGCATGATTTCAAGCTGAAGCTCAACCCCCAGAGGTTGACCAAATGGGAACAGAATAACATTGCAAAAAATAGCAATCACAACATTGGCCCAGCAGCAATATGAGGATGTGAAAACGAGCTTGTCTCATGGTGGGGGAGCGTTTTTTGGGTGAACTTGGGTCATGCAGGTGTTAGTACCTGAGGCCAGATTGGGCGAGCTCTGGACCCTCTTCATGGGCGAGAGCGTGAGCGACACAGCGACACTTTTGCGAGCACATCCGCCGCTGTCTGAGAACGTCGCAGCCGAGGGCGGTCACATGCGCCATCAAGTGGATGGGTAAATGGGAGCATTTAACAGATGTGTATATATACACATACACATACACACACACGCGCACACACGCACACACACACACACACACACACACATGCAACAAACAAAGCACGTGCAATTGAGCCCAAATGAATGACAGCAACACAACGGCAAGGAATACTGGAGGTTACGTTCAAACATTCAAGAGATGCATCGAGTAAGGGTGTGCCAACTCTTTCAGGTGGTTGCATGGCCTCAAGTTTGGGAGAAAAGCTGTTTTATATCAAACAATCGATGGATGCAAAACAGGGCTCGTTTGGCTGTTTCCTCGAGTGGGGATTAGGTGGCGGCAAGGGGGATTGCGGCGCCAAGGATCGAGTGCGCCAACTTTGTCGGGCTGCCGGCGGTGTAAACAATCTGAACGTTGGCAGACGGTGCCGTGTGTAGATTTTAAAAATGAGCCGCTCATCAACAGCCGGCCGGCACAGCGGTATCGACGTCCGCTCGGGAAGACTGCCAAGTTGTAGCTTTGGAAAAGTGTTCATGGAGGGATACATTCTCGGTGAGGCAGAGAGCAACAGGTTCTCAGAGAAATCTCTTTCAACGCCATATGGACCAATGCCAGAGCAGACGAATTACACTTGCAAACTACCTGATTTGAAAAGAGAAGACATTTTGGTTCCAATGAATGGACTGGATGACATTTCATGGGGCGTACCTGTATTCATAGTGAAGCGCGCTTCTTCCAGATTCCAACCCGGGTGAGACGCCGTCCTGCAAAAACAACAAAGACAAACTTTTGTTTTTTTACATTTGCGTGAAAATTGTTACATTGTTTTTAACATCTTCATAAAAAGCGTAGTAAACTTACACATGACCTGCAAACATGCTCTTGTGACCGTATTTCCATTATTTCCAATGAGAAATTTGTTTGTAGTTACATAATCGACATGTAAAGCTGGAGGGAAGAACACCCAAAAATTGTTGGGGAGATTCGACAAAAAGGTGCGCATTCAGAAATATTATTTCACCCTACCCACCCCATCCCAAAATGTAATTGTTTTTATTCATTTGTCAATCCAGAAGTATGACTCGTAGTACTTTTTTGGGGGTGGGGGTGACCCTAATCGGGACTGTTAAGCCTCGATGGCTCTCGTAGTTATTTCTGTAGGAGGTGTCAGTTTTATGAAATGGATGACACATAAAACGCTAGGAGAGGAGTAAATAATATCAAGAATTAATGCAGGGAAAGCGTCTTTTTTTTTTTTTTTTTTTTAAGACGCTGGGTCTATATCAAGCTGTGTGTTGTGGGATATTTTTTTCAGCCTCTGGAGAGCCAATCTTCACCTTCACACGGTGTCCGTCGTAAATCTATCTCCAAGCACCACACACACACACACACACGCACACACACACACACACACACACACACACACACACACACACACACACACACACACACACACACACATATGCACGGACGCACACGCGCGGACTGGGTAAATCATGGGTGTGGCGTCACGAGCTGTCGGCATCCAAATGATGGTCAGCTTATAAACAGGATCATGTTTCTTGGGGACAGATTTGCGGCGTCACAGCAGCTGTGTCGGTGGTGTGAATGTTATGGCTGGACTGACTGGGGTGGGGGGTGGGGGACCCACTGAGCAGCCCAAACACACCTTGTGAAGTTTCCCAAATTTTGCAGGTAAGGCAATCCGCGCGAAAATTGTGTTTGGTTTGGGTTGGCAGGTTTGACTCCCAAAAATTTGCCTGGTAATACCCAATGAAGTTTTGGGAAAATTTAGCAAACTCAAAACCTGTTTCACTTTGCGACCTGAGATTTATCATGAGGCATGATGATGATCGTGAGTCGACCCACAAAAAAAAGTCTCAAAAAGCCGTGTTTGGAAAGAACATGAAAATGTGATTATTTTTGGTTTTCAAGTGGCTCAAGTGTCCTTTTTCTGGGCTCCTTTTCAAAGTCCTGATTAGCATGATTATTAAACAGCTTTTCAGATTTTTAACATCTATTCTAAAATTCTAACAAAAATTCCAAGGAACTTCCAGGTACAACAGGAAGTTCAGTGAAAACTTCAACAAATAAATAGCTCCCTAAAATTTTCTCCAGTGAAGAGTTTTACAAAGTTTAAAAAAAATAAAAAATAGGCAGATGCCGAGGTACGGCAAAATGCCAAATATCGGCACTGATTATCGTCCAGACCATCACTACCTAAGAGAAACTTATCCGAGAAATTTTGTCCAACTGTGACAAAAATGTGCACCATCTACGGCAGAAAGATGGACGACACTCAAGGTGCTGGATGATTAAAGGGTTCTTTGGGGTTAAAATGTAAATTGGAGCAGCAGTGGAGGACCTAAAACCCAAAACTCGACAATTGGCTCGATGGACTTCTGTCGAAAATGTCGCCGGACTTATTTGGAATCCCCGGGCCTATCTTTGTTTTGACCGCCCAAACGCACGCGTTGCTGGGTTGAAATGAACGAAGGCCCTCTTCCTTATTTGGAAAAGTTTTTCTTTCTGTGGGCTAATTCGCAGAGCCGCCGCATCTCTGAGGACATCCGTGTCACATCTCTGGAGGACGGAAGATTTGACGCGAGGGCCTCGGTGATATCGAGCCGACATATTTTCCTCGGGTGCGCGGGAGCGACCGCGACGGTCGGAGCTCCTCATTAGCGGAGTCTTTAAATACGCTCGCTGATGAGCTTAATCTGTTGACATCCTTTGAGTCGGTCTCCGTCCGAGGCACCGCACCGGGGTCAGGACCCTTGAGGCTATCTAGCTTATCTCCCTTGTTCACTCTCCCCTGCTCTTGACAGAAATACGCCGACCCATCTGTTGAGTGTACGCTGGTTTGATTTGGTAGCACTAGCCGTTTGTTGAAGCCTTGAGACGAAACGTACAAAAAAATGCTTTGGATCAACGTGCATCGTTTGCAGAGAATGAATCGCGGAGTCGCGCGTGTTTTCGTGTGTATTAAAACAAAAGATGTCTCAATGGTCTTCAAGCACTGCGTAAAAAGAGAGATAAAATCCACATCATACAAAATCCTCATCAAGCATGCTAGCGCGCATGGCTGGTTTTCATCAAGCTACCGTTTTGAGCACGTGCAGCTGAGACTCTTTGGTTTTACAGTCTCACAGTTATTACACTCGCGTATGATTATGCATGCTGGTCTTCTTTGAGGTTGACCGAAACCCAAATTACAGTCACTCGATAAACCCTGGCAAATTCAGGACTTTAGATGACTCAAAAGTAACTCACTTAGCTAAGTAGAAACAGAGGTTAAAAGCACTCCGAAATGAAATACGGGATACTCACTGTTTCCCACTTTTTTTTTTTTTTTTATTGCAAACACTTGGCTGAGAAATAAAATAACATAGAACATAGCTGTATGATAAATGAGACTGTTGATTTTTTTAAAATCCTTGTTTAAACAGGTAGTTAGCAATGACCTTGATTCACAGTTAAGATTGTTGAAGCAAACAGTTTGAACTGGGTTGCTAACCAAAACAGCAGCAACTATCCATCCATCCATTTTCCGATCCGCTTTGTCCTCACAAGGGTCGCGGGGCGTGTTGGAGCCTCTCCCAGCCGTCTTCGGGCAGTAGGCAGGGGACACCCTGAACCGGTTGCCAGCCAATCGCAGGGCACACAGAGACGAACAACCATCCACGCTCAGACTCACACCCAGGGACAATGTAGAGTGTTCAATCAGCTTGCCATGCATGTTTTTGGAATGTGGGAGGAAACCAGAGTACCCGGAGAAAACCCACACAGGCACAGGGAGAACATGCAAACTCCACACAGGAAGGCCGGAGCCGGGATTGAACCCGGTACCTCTGCACTCAACCACCGGGCCACCCCAGCAGCAACTAGGAAGCGTGTGAACAGTGTGTCACTGTGGACTCTTAACGTCCTCCTTAAAAATGATCATTTGCCAGCTGGAGGCGGCATCAACGTCGATGGACTTCTTGTTGTACTCGGCCTGTTTATTTTGTTGAGTTGAATTTGACATACTAGTAGTCAGGCTAAATTGTACACCCCTGAAAAAATACCAAAGAAATAAAGCTCATGGATCCTTTGAAGTCCACCCGGTTGTAGCAAGATTTTAGTCTTGTACATGTCTGCGCCTCCCCCCCAACACGTTCCCCTCGTGAGGCAGCGGGATTTGCAAGATCGAGCACAATCATTGCAAGGGCAGGGAGAATGCTGACCTCCTTTGCTACTTCACACTCCCGAGTAGTGCAGCCTCGGTCAAACATTTCACCAAGTGTTTCTTTTTTCCTTTTTTTTCCTGCCCCCCTTTCAGGATTCCACATAGTAAATGTTCAACCACAACGCAATGCCAAGTATGCAAGCCTGCATTTAGAGTCGACACCGACAAAACAATGCGATGAATATAAAGTAGTCAAGCTGTTGCGTTAACGACAAAGACATCGCGTTGCCGATGCCTGAAGCTTAGCGCAGGTCAAATTTGAAAGTCAAAATGTGAAGAAAATGAAACCGTTTGATGGCATCTCGACTGAAATTTTGTTGAAGTTTCGTGAGGTGTAAGGGCAATTCCAATTGCACTTTTTTTTTAAGTGGGGTGGGGGGTCAAAATAAGTCTTGAAAGACAATTACAAACACGCAACTTTTTAAAAAGTGGCTCTTCACTTTGACATTTTTGGGAATTTGTCATTTTTAGGCGAAGCATTTTTAAACGGTGTCAAATTCAGCAAGGCTCGGCTTGGCTAGGTATGCTAATGTTATGCTAAAGAGGACTTCAATGCAAAACAAGCTTGGCGGTTGATCGAGTTTTTCCAATCAGCATACTGTACATCCAAATCGGGTACAACCAAAACAATCCAATGATCTCCTTCACCTTGTTTCGGAGATGTGTCTATCCAGCTCTACCGCCACTAGTTGAACAGTCGCCACGCTCAACAAAGTTCTTGTTATCTGCCTTGTTTGTTCAACCTCGCCACTCATTAGCGAAGCCCCCCCCCACGGGGGGAGGCCGATACACTGACCCCCCCCCGCCATTGCGTCCACCGCGCAAGCGACAACAGGGGGCCGTGTGTTCGGCGGATTGCGTCACGGGCGCCACTAACGAGCAACGGGAGCACTAATGCAATTATGCAATGACAACCCCAGCTTTTCTCTCTCTCTCCCTCTCTCTCTCTGGAGTCGCGGGCACGGAAGGAGACAGGATTACGTGTGACAAGTTGAGGCGTCGCATCGTTTCTATACACGGCTTGTGGACAGCAGCAGAGAGGGCGGAGGGGAAAAGCATGGACTCTGCATGTAAACTGCAAAAGGGCTGAACAATTAATCGGAATTCAAATGGATATCGCAGTGTAGTCGAATGCAATTTTCAAAGAGTTTCAAATTTGGAAGGAAAAAAAAATGCAATTTGGAAGAAAAAAAAGCTTCATCTTGGCTGGTTACTGATGAATTTAGGGCTTGAGTTTTGCTTGTTGTTGCTCCTACGATTGCTCTTTTCTGTTGTCTTTTCTCTGTGTGCCCCCACGCCCCAAGCACGGTCCTACTCGGTGGACTTCCAAATAAATTCTAACACTAGCTCCCTTGTTGCACAGCAAAAAGACAGAAAGAACACCCACTGCCGAAAGGACAAAAAAAAAAAAAAGGGAAAAAAAAAGATGTCTGTTGGAACGCTAGACGAGCCAGACTTCACAATGACTAATGTTTAGAAGATCAGACAGCCCCCGGCTGCAAACAACACGGCGTCAAAGATCAGACAAAAGACAAACGAAAGGTACATGTTGCCGGGAGC